ACTATCAATAGCGTAACTTGTACAGTCCCATAAGACTGTAAACATCCGATAATCAACAGTTTCATAAAAAGCATCAGTAGATCAATGATGACAAAGTAAACCTTGTCAGGGTGGTATTTGCAATAACAAAAGCCCCACATTAAAATCGATTTCATGGATGTATATAAGTGAGAGACCTTTTTGTTAATACAAATTCTCCAATTAATAACAGTTATTAGATAGTTAAACACGAAGAAAAGAGCCAATCCTACCCACAAGGCTATTAAGATTGAACCAACAATTATACTTCCAATTGGCATCTTGATATAGTTTCCAGAATTCTTCACAGCTCCCGTGGAATTAGGTGCAAAATTTTGAGTAGTAAAATTTAAACTATTTCCAGTAAAGCTATTTGAATCTGATCCCATTTCATTAGAGGGATTTATAAGAAGATTCGGTGAAAATATATTATCGTATGGAACTGAAGCACTGAATATATTACTCCGGAGGTTAGATTCATTAGCAAAATATTTATATTTCCCACCTACGGTACCAGCATTATAAAGCATGAATGAAGTTAAAACTAAAAAAGGAAAACCAAACATTGTGAAAAAATTCTTCAATACTTGACCTAATATATGGTAAATATTTTTCTTCATTGTGAACTCATAGTCTAAGTCAGTTGAGCTTGAAAAACGGTATTTTTCGTGGTTTCTGGTACCGCAACTTTTCCCTTTTCGATTATAAAACCAACTAAATGACATTTTTAGGATCAAAAAGAGCTGATGTGCCACAATCATTATAAACGTCCAAATAACAAACGCAAGGATGAAGTTTGGCCAGCAATCGTAGAACGAGAGATCATTACTAAACGTTGCTAGGTTCTTTAAGCCCTCTAGATTTAAAGTAACATAGATATTATCCAGTTCTGTATGTCGTGTTATTCCGTTTCTAATAAATCCAAACCCCATTAATGCACACCAACGGATTTGACCGACCAAAGGTTGATAGAAACCTGGATACTGCAAATCTAGCCCTCCAATGAATAATGCAAATTGTAGATAAGTAATAATTTCTTCAACAGTTGCATCTAGTTGTTTCAATAAATTTTCATTACATATTGTTGACGCCACAAACAAAAATGGATTTGACGACTCTTGATAGGATGAATAAATCACCGTGAAAAAATTTATCAATCCTGTGACTACTAACAAGACTGGGACACCTATAGAAAGGGTAGCTTTCACGTCATTCGAATGCTCTGGAGTTACATATGCTCTATTGCAACCAATTAACTCTGATGAAGCATCGTTCGCAAAGACATAGAAATTAACGGTGTAGCTACCTAACTTAAGATAATGATCACTAATATCGACTTCGTAATACATCACAATCGAGTCATTTGCATATAGCGGACACTGTACTAAGCTTCCCGTTGAATTGTCAAAAAGGCTTTCAATCGTTTTATTTGACGTTGCTAAAGAATAAATTTCATCATTTCCTGAATGAGAAGCATCTTTATTTAAGTCTTTGCTTGCCATGGTACCTGAATACGCAAGAAGATTGTTTTCAATCTCCTCCATTTTTCTTGGACTTGACAAGTAGTCTTCTGTATGTTTCACTGCTAGCATATCGCAAAACTTTACATCTTCATTAATGAAAGTTTTACCCATGAATTTTATATCAACATGAAATGTGGTGTATTTATTTGTTGTAGTATTGACATCATTAATTATGACATCCTCATTAGACATTGAAGATGAATCATATACTTTTGAATTGATGAAGAATTTCAAGATTTCTGCTTCTTCATCCAAGGCCACATCTATAACAAATGGTGCAAGCTTAAAATTATATCTATTCACCCCAGAGCACTGGTATGTGGATACAAGAGCACCATGCACATATGCTATTACAAGTCCTAATAGAATAAATAGACGTGCAATAGCTGCCACCATCGTAGTAAGACCTTCTCTTTCTATATTCGTGATACTATTTTACTTGAAAACACTGATTGTATGAACTTTTCATATGATATCTTGATCAAGTCTAGACATATAATAGTAAGAAACGATAATAAATATTTAGCAAAGCGGCTTAAATATTCGCTTTTCGACAACAAGACTGAATATCTCTATACTCAGATATCTATAAATTAAAGGAAAGATATAGTAAAGTTCAGCTTAGACTTGAACCGCAGCCGCTAAAACGTGCAATTATTTTTTCCCGAGAAAAATGTTGTACTGAGGTAATCAAAGGAACGGCTTTAATTAATCAGGAACTAGCCTTAGAGTAAACGTAGATCTATACTATTTGCTATTATCTGGTTACTTCACATCTTGGATAGAACTTAATACCTATTATTTAAATATATTGGGACTGTTAGAGAGTAACATACTTCCAATTTAAGTAAAGTATGCGGATTTAGCTCAGTTGGGAGAGCGTCAGACTGAAGTCAACTTCAGTCCAGTTAATCTGAAGGTCCTGTGTTCGATCCACAGAATTCGCATTGTTCTTTTTTTTCCATTTATTCATCCAACACTAAACGATGAACGATACCGAAGTATGACTTCTGACTACTTTAATTATAGAAAAGATCCATAAAAGTAAAAAAACTATATATATGAACTCAAGACTAGCAGAAATCTTTATGGTGTTAAAGTTCTAGAAACTTCGTTCTGATACCTCTATAATACCTAAGCTCTACATGTATAGAAACTATGATACTATGTTTATTAAATTGACAACAAATACCGGGTTTTACTATATACAAATGCAGTTTTATCCATTTTATTTTCATATCTTATACCTAATCATTGACTTTCCCTCTCAATTTAGGATACAATCTAGCCGAATGGTAATTAATTGATGATATTGTTTCCTTTTTAGGTTTGAAAGTCTCCATACAATTTTTTAAGTCATGTTCAAATGTTGAACACTGTAATGAACCCTCTCCATTAGCTGCCCAGCAATTTAATAAAGACGACATAAGAACGAAGCATTCATTGGTAGATTTTGAAACCGTAGGTCTTCTGATTTTTAACCTGGGTAAAGGAGGTAATTTCTTATTGGTTTGCAATTTTTTATACGCCATTCTACTCAGAAACGTTCCATGCGTTAAATTTATCTAGCTAAAGTTAAAGAAGAGCCTATATAGTAACTAATTAAATCAGTTAAAACCTTGAGTAAGCTCTGAAAAATTATCATACTTTTGGTTTACGCACACATGTATCGATATATGATTCCAATTTCATCTTGTTCACAATAAAACTATGCTTATGGTTATTATAATTTTTAGATCTTGGGGATACCGAATTATATAAGGAATAGTCCTTCCAATAAATTCTCTTGAATGGACTGTTTGAAGAGACTTCATGAATAAAAGCATCAATATGACTGTAAGGCTGGCGCTGTTTAATGTTAGAAATGCAAGAGGGAATCAATTTATTCTTAATTGTAGACTTGATTGTAGATTTCAAATGCTTCATAAAGTTTTTCATATCATTTGAATCGTGATACTTCATCCTGATCAAAGTATCAATCTGGTCTTCTAAATTGATGAGAAATAATTTGAATAAATGATTCGATAAATTCTTCATTTGTCTTCTTGAATTCAATAATGCAGAATAATTTGGAAAAGCATTGAACAGCTTTAAATTGTAGTTAATAACCAATAAAGATGATGCATTCAGGTGATTTGGTCTTATAACTTCACATAATTTAAACTGATTTGTCTTAATCTCCTGGTTTCCAAATAGTAAAATTTTGGACCCATTTTTGGTAATGTGTGATTTAATTTGACCTTGTAAAAAGCTGCGTAATTGGAATATTTCATTTTCAAAGTCATCATATAGATCTTGCGAAATATTGGATAATATGTTATATTGGGTTACATTTTCATAGTGAATTGTAAACTCAGGGACTTCATTTTCGTAAATAATGTCTAAGAATTTGTTAAAATTGTCATCATACTCATTCCGAATTGGCCTCTTGCTTAAATATCTCGGATCAATATTAACAGAATCCTTCTCTTGTTCCAAAAAATTCAAGTCTCGCTTATGAATAGGTATCTTCTTTCTATGCATTTGCAAGTCTTCCACGAACTCTTTTGGATAACAAGCGTCCGTTAGTTTGTTCTTACCTGTACGTAGGGGTAATCCACTAATGCTTCTATCAAATCCAATAACATTGTAAGGTTGGTTAAATAAATTCTCCTTATAATAGAATGCCGAAGGTGCTAAAGAAAGATTTGTTATCTCTTCTCTTCTCAAAGACTTGAATTTAGAATTTATTCCGTTGAATTCTTGGATCAAATTATTAATTAAATCGTCATAATTCCTTAGGTATTTCTTGTAATATTTTAATTGAACAGATTTGTCTTCGTCCAATCTCCGAAGATCTTTATAAATATTTTCTAAGTTAACACCCGATAAATCAAATAAATCAACCTCATCAGGCAAGCTCCTAATAATTTTCTTCCTATCTAAGTAATGCTCTGAAGGAAAAGAGAATTGTTTTCCTTGGTCTAAATTTCTTTGAATCTCTAAATCATCTACTGACATATATGCAACTGTTTCGTATGCTTCTTGAACTTGCGAATTAGCAGGCACTGTATGTCTCTTCTTTTTCAACGCCCGTATAGTAGATGTAAAGCATCGTTTTTGATTCCTTATCATCATATGCTACTGTATCACTTGCTTCAATGAACGAAATATAAATATCCAAACGAATCAAAAATGATGAAATAAGTAAGTACTTTATATTTGTTATACTAAACAGTCTATAATGCACGTTCTTATTGCTAGCTTATCAAATCCTCACTACTATGTGGCAAGTGGTTTTACTTTCGTCACAGAGGAATGTCGATCAGTACCCGCGACATCTAACTCTACAACTATACGACATAATTAGATATAATAATACCATAGCCATTTATTAAAACCGAACCCAGAAAAATATAATTAAGAAGTAAATAATGAATCTAACAAGTTAGATAACTGAAGAAATAAATATCTATATGTCTAATAATGAGTAGTGGAATTCAATTCTTGAAGCATTCTATTCAATTTGCGTTCTTCGCTTAATGCAGTAAATTCAATCATAGGATCAACCTTGTTCTCGTATAGTATATGACCATGAGATGGAGAATGTAATTTCGAAGTAGGAGAAGATTCCATTGACGAATCAACAGAGGATGCTGTAGAAATCGAAGACGTGGAGCCTTGTCTATAGTGAAGACTTAAGGTCGAGCTGTTAGACGAAGATCTCGACATACGCGGTGTTTGTTGTTGTTGTTGTAATTGTCTTTGTTGTTGTTGTTGTTTCTGTAAGAATTTTCTCATCTTGGCGGATTTGATCAAGTCTTCCTTGATAGGATTCAAGAATTTTGCTAAATGGGCAATCATCTCTTCATTGGAAACTTTCAAATCCCAGTTGAGCAAAAATAACAATTGTCTTTCCATTAAATTGATATCCTTAACGTTAAAAAGTCCATCGGTATATTTAGCCCAATGTATGTTCTTTGGAGAAGAATCGTTATGGAATTTTGAAGACAAAATCAAACATGAAAGTAAAATTCTGTGTCTGGTGCATGGTAAACCGTGAGCATTTTTCGGTAACTTGGTTTTCAATTTGTTCAAGTATACTAAAGTAGCCATTAAGGTTCCGGTATAGACATTGGTATATCTAACCAATTTTGTGATAAATGTCATCAATGATGGTAATGCTTTGTCCTTTGAGCTCGAGTTTGATGGAGATTGTAATTTAGAGTCTTCACAAGGTAACACTTGTAATGTAGTGACCACTAACTTGTGGATCATATCCTGAGAGACTGGTGAATTGAGGAAAATATTCAATGCCTTTAAATCAATTGAACTCATTTTGTAAGTTTTGTATGGCTAATGTGATAGTATTCTTCCAAATACCTTAATGCAAAATACAGGGTATGCTTATATTTATATCTAAGCTCCATTAAATTTATTCAACCTTCATAAACACTTAACGTAAACCTAAAGGTACATATCGCGTATGACATACTGGCAGTGTGAAAGGGATATTATGCATCGATAATACTGTTTTAAAACAATATACCATTTATAGAATAATATTTAACTTTTTGTGTGCTATAAAACGATTGAGAAGGTTCTTTCCGCAGTAAAAATCGCGTATGAAACTAGATTCGTGTCTCAAGTATAACGCGCCTATCGTGTTTACTACTAACAACGAAACACACACGAACTCCTTTTGGCTCGTCAATATGGGGTGTTCTGGGCCACGAAGCGTGAATTTCTGTAGCTTCTATTTCGTGTTTTACAATATCTCAAAGTAAATTAATTCTACTATTATTCTCTCCAGCCACTTTTCTTAATCAGGACTAATTGAACTCCTGTTCGGCCTGATTAGAATTTCTATTCAGTATAAATGTTATTGTCAAAAAAGCGTTGACAAAGCGTTGTACGCTAATTGACCAAAAGAGTTTAATTACCGCCTTATGGTTGTACTGTAAATTTATTAATTTCAAGTTTCTCTACTACCTCACAGAACCAGAATTAAGTTTAAAAATACAAAAAATATACTAGCTGAACAAGACTTGTAGTGGGGCGACATATTTAGTGTAGCTAGGTATTCTTGTGTTACAGAAGTAACACCAAACCTAATTTATATGGAATGAGAGATGCGTTGAATATTTTTAGGTGTCATGCTTAATTAAATAGCCTTAGTTGAAATCTACGACAAAAAATGTATGATATCGTTCGTTTATTAATAAAGTTTCAATATGTAATATGTAGTTGTATATTGCTATTATCTTGTTAGTATTAAAGTTTCCAAACATATCATTCATAAATTAATTGATTAGATAAATGTCAGAAATTTGGGTATACTGGGTCTATCATGCTTTTGAGTACTCAGACTGGTGCACAGCGTTTTGTCGTCATTTAGTTTATCTTATCAACAATCATATATTGTAGTTACATACATTATTAATGAGTAAAGAACAAAATATAAAACCATTAACTAAAAAATTTTCCTTCATCATTTTATACTCTCAGCCAAATATGTTTTCGCCCGGGTAACCCCGACTTGGTATACAAAGAGTATTAGGGTTGCAGACAGTAGAGAACTGATAGAGACCCAATTAAATTGCCTACTCAATAATTACCATCAAATATTTGTTCTAAATGTATATCCCTTAATAGGTCAAACGAATTTTCATTGAAATCGTAACTGCTGAATGGTGTTCTTGGGATGGTATTTCCCGGTGATTGCAATGGGTGCAATTCCTGGCCTTGGTTACCTAAATCGACATTAGTCCCAGGATTAGAATTCGCTTCGTTTTTCATTGATACCATTTGCATCCAGAGTCTATCAATTTCGTTGTTGTTTATAAATTCCATGTCTTCGAAATTCAATGAATTCAGCGATTCAACGGACATGCCAGGAGTCATAGGAATAGGCGTTTTAATTTTCACGTTGTCGATTGACTCCCCATCATTATTGTCCTGAACTTGAATATGATTCCTAAATTGATTATTTTGCAGTTCATTCTGCTGTTCGTTAATGTTGGTATCTCGTTTCGACATTCTACTTTTGTGAACTCTTCTCAATGACGCTTCACACATTCTTGATAATTCATCTACCTGGCCAACACTAAACTCGGTGATATCCAAATTACATTCCTTCGCTAGGGATTCATCTAAGCCAGAGAATTCTAGTAAGAACCTATATGCCTTCGTTACTTTCCATGCGTAATAGTATCTTTTACTTAAATTGGTCATAGCAGTCATGAACGTATCTATCAATTTTTGAATATATTTCAGTAGCTTGCTAAGCTTCAAATGTTTCTCTTGGTAATAATAATCATTATTCATTTTTAAATCATGATCGACGTCTGTTGACATTTTATGAAGTTGCAATTTTAATCTAATAAATATTGCAAAATTCACTTGCGACGATTTGTGAATAATTTGTTCCAAACTAGGATTCATAATTAGATCAGCACCTTCTCCAAAGTTAACGTGATTATCCTCGACTAACTGAAAAATTCCCTCAACGAATTCATCAAGCATAACTGTATATATTTTTTTCAAATAAAAGAATGACAAATTCGGTTGCTTTCTTTTCTCATAATGTAAAAAAAAATGGTAAAAGACAATCATATTGAAGTTCGTTAAGTTGATATAATTCTTGCATTTCATAATCTTAATAAACGGGTATCGAAACTTGTCATCTTTAAATGGTATAAAATATTGATTTAAAGTCCCATAGTGCAGATGTATGAACTTTTCAAAGTCACTCATTAGCCTTGTTAAGTTTTCCATTTTGATTGAGTCTTTAACAGATAATGTGAGATCTAAAATTGTCTTCAATTTTCCATAAAATTTACTGAAATAAGCAAATGTACTCAAAACATTCTTTTCTAACTCGATATCTAGAATGTTTTCATTTCCAGGTTTATAATATGGTAGCTTAGTATCTACATATTTATCATCAATACATAATGGGTTTCCATAAGAATATGCTTGGTTAAAATCACCCAATGTTAAAAAGAGCCAAATCTTTCGTCCAATATTATTGACTTTTTCATCATTACATGCTTCCGGAAAATTATCTGGCTCTCGATTTAGACCCATAGAGTAGGCCATTTGAATCAACATCCCTGAATATATTTGTGAATCACCACCATCAGCGCCATCCCCATCTTCAGGTGAGAACATGTGGTATAACCTCATTATTAATGCACATTGTAGTACGACCAAGTTCGTTTTACGCAACAATTCAAACTGATCTAGACATAATTGTGCCATATGTATAACGTCAATATTTATAGGGTTTGACAAGAGATACTTAAGTTCTTGTGCTGTAGATGATGGATCATTAGTCTTTAGATTATTCTCATTAACTCCATTTCTATTAGAAAATAATGACAAATATGTAAATCGAGTGATAATTAGCAATATCCCAATATTTGCTAAATCTAGTCTTTTTTCAATATTTAATTCACTAATTTTAGAATCATTGTGGTCTTCTGGTCCTAATATTCGTGACATTTCTGATTTAAAATAATTTTCATCAATAAATGGCAAAAATGGATAAACTGAAAGGAAAAATTTGTTGATAAGAATCCAAATTACTCTCTGCTTGGGTAAAACAACTTTAATCTTATCAATTAACTTCAACTCTTGATCTATTTGACCTTCAAATACCGTTAAGCCTAAAGAAATTGCGTTTTTATTCATATTTATTTTTCGTTGTTTTTCATCTTTAAATCGTTTCTCTTTATCTCCCTTGTTCTGCTGATCATCTAGAATATTATTATAAAGTCTTATATCATTATATCCATCTCTATCCAATGTTTTCTCGCGAAATTCCTTTTCTAATTCTGCTTCTTGACTATTCCGAGATTCTACGTCTGATTGATTGATTTTATCCCTCTGGTCTTTTTCTACGCAACCTTTTTCTTGATTTATTTTTTCTAGATTCCAGCTAAGAGCCTTTTGTGCCCCATAGTCAGTTAGCTTGCTCTCTTTGGCATATTTCCATAATAAACGCAATGCAATGTCCTTACTCATGATAGATATCCACGCAAAAGGACCAAAATTCATTCTTCTCGATGATGATTTAATTATGACGGGGGTGTATCCTTCATAAAAATTAATTATCTCTTCTGACGATCCAAAAGGATTAATACCCACGTATTTTTTATTAGTGTCTGAATAATCATTGAGAGGATTTTGGCCCAGCGATTGTTCTGATCTTAAATTACTTTCTGTAGAAATGGATCTAGGCGTAGATGATGTAGAAGGAGGCCATGTTAACGGTGGTAATTGTATTGGATTATTTTGAGTTCGTGATACAGAATTATTGTTATTAATTGTAGCATTTAATAAATATGGATCAGTCGTTGGAGGACTGAAGTTAGGGCTTTGTTGTGATAGACTAGACACTGTTATAGATGCTTCAATCTGTCGGATTTTATCTTTTAGCATCTCTAATTCAGAATGCATTGTAGTATCAGTATTTTGAACCGCCTGGCTTTTCATTATTTCGTCATTCACATCAAGCTTACTCTTCTTATTAGAACTTTGAACAGTAAAAGGAGGCAATTCTCCCATATGTTGATTCTCGCTACTTACAAATGCATTATATTCACACAATCCAGGAACATTATATTTAACACATGATGAACATGGTTGTCCTCTATCACATTTCACTTTCCTTTTCTTGCAATAATTGCAAGACAATGTAATTCTATTTCTCTTCTTCGAATGTTCCGGCGGCATTACATATGACTTTTGTTACACCAGAATCCTATTTCAATTATTTGCTCCAATCAAGATTATATCAAGTGCAGTATAAGATACTAAAGCAGACTATTGGAATGTACTACAAAACCCGGATTAATATCCATTCGTTACAAGAAATAAATAAATATGAATTTTATTATCTCCGAAAAGCGATACGCACAAAATATCTAATATAAATTTTAAGTCCTAAGTTTCAATTTAATTACGTAAAAATCTTTTAATCACTATAATTCGTAAATAAGACAAACTACGTTTACCACTGGGTTTGATCTGTATCTGCATAAATTTCAAATAATTTCAAGAGATCTTCATTTTGCATATTAGGATTATCAAAACCCGGAATTGCATTCATCGCACCTATTGATGAGCTGCTAGCGTCAACTGGAGATGATTGAACGGTAGACGAGGGGTTTTGACTACTTTGCGTAAAATCGCTATACTCAGAATCAAGGCTCTTCATCTGATTCATGTAATTCATAGGAGTTGGATAAGTTCTAACAGAATCAGGACTAACGGCTTCCTTGCGTTTATGAATTTTCTCTTGTTCATCTTTCGCGATTTTGAATTCTTCGCATAACTTGACCAAATGTTGTAACTCTGCAGTTGAAAAGAATTCTATCATATTAGTGCCATCATGATAAAATTGAGCGTGTTTCATGGATCTTTCGAAGAATACATCGGGATCTTCCATGCATTGTTTCAACACAAAATATGTCATGACATAAAGCCTGTAAGAATTAATGTAATTTTTGCTTAGCTTTCTGAAATTTCCAACATATAGTTCAGCCTCAACAAGAACCATTTTGAACAATGTACCAGTTACTTCTAACTTTAAGCTAGTATTCATATTGTATCCCTCTTTCTCATTTTTAAGTCTAATTGCCAAAACCTTCTTATGGTGCATTAATCTTATAAAAAAGGACGTTAAAAATGCGTGAGTTTTTATCATATACTTCTCATTATTGGCCGTCAAAATATAATCAAAATTACGTCCGAAAACATCCACAGAATTATCAACAACGTAAGACATAATATAGTTTAGCTGAACAACACTCTTGATGTAAATCTTAAATAATTCAAACCCCGCACCTATTGATGAATTATTTGATTTTGTATGTTCATTTTCATAAAAAATGGCAATTTTATAGTACATGCAAGATAAGTTGGTTCTTAATTGCACAAAAGCAATATACATAATAACCTTCAAGAAAGCTTCTTCGTGTTCTGCGCTAGAAATGCTATTGTCTATCGGTGATTGTAAGTTGACGGAAGGCTTAGCTGGTTGACAGATATAATCCTTAAAGAAATCCTTCCCAAAAAAATTGAAGAATAGTCTTTCCAATTTATTTGTTTCTGCCAAAATATCAACAACTTTAGGTTTGATCTGTACACTTGATATCAAGTTGCTAAGGCTCCTGTATGATTCACATATGAGCTTAATATTAAATAACGCTTCCTTTATTTTCCCAGTCTTGCTATCAAAGTTAGGATATTGTACATCACTCATATCTAAATTTTGAACATTCAAAACGGTTCCTGAATGTATCGCATTCATGGCATCATAAGACACTAGGTAATGCCATAGAGCCCTCCATGACTTAGTTAACAGAACATTTTGACTGATATTCTCATGGGCGACATATTTAGTGGGATCTCTGTTTAATCCAATTGCAAAAGCGTGTTTCATTATGGTTCCAAAAAGGATTTGGGAATCAGTCCCACCTAAACCGAGACAATCATCTGGAGTCACCAGTCTATAAAAATACATGAGAGTCAAACACTGCATTAACTTGAACGAGCTCTTTTGAGAAGTTTGTTCCTCCGGAATGCAGAGATTGACAACATTAATGTATTCTTGAGGGTTAATTCTTTGCATATCAGCGATCATGCTTCTTTCGTCTTCATTTAATCCATTATTTGTTTCGTCATTATGAATCAAACTCATATATCCCAATCGAATGACTAGTAAGACAATTCCTAAAATAACCAAATCGTTCTGATTTTTTATTTCAATTTTTTTGTAACGTTCTTCAGCTTTCAATGTAGGAAACCTTTCAGGTAACACATGGTTTATATCAATAATCAAACTGCTTTCGTCCACAATAGGGATAAATGGGTAGACGTACTTAAAAAATCTGCAAAAAAGCATGAACATATTCTTTTTCTCCGGTAAAATCCCAACTATAGCTTCACCTGTAAGCTCGAAATAATCCTGCTTTATTTCATTACTTTGGTATAATGATTTTAAGCCAGGTAATACTTGTGGTATCCTATGTGTTTTTTCGTTATCTTCTGAAGCATTCGTATATGCTTCCTTTACCTTAATTTTAGTAACTATGAGACCATCTTCAACCACCACATCCGATTCTTCCGCACCATCTTCACCTTCTTCCTCTTCTATTGTTTGTTCATCCTTATTCTTTTCTTCCGCATCGTCATTAGTATTAGTGTAGTTTTTGTCAACCCCATCTAATTTAACGGGGTTCGTGTCTCCAACTTTTTGCGATTTTACATTCTCTTGTAATGAATCGGAATTAATAGAAACAGGTGTGTCAAATTTGGCTTTAAATCCATCTGTTTTCTTTGAATTCTTAGCACCGGGTGATCTTGCACTAGTGTTCTTTTTTTTTCTCCGTTTCATTGACTTACTTTCTATAAATTGTGACATACTGCCGGATTTGAATAATGTAATGGCATAGTTTCGGATAAACTTCAAAAACGGATCACTCTTAGTCAATCCAATATAAGATAATGGACCTTGCTGCTGTAACAAAGGCCCTTCAACCAGAAAGGAAAAACTAGCATTAGAAAAGACATCAATTCGATCATTTGGATCAACTTGTAATGTTGAATTTGGACCAATAGAAATTTCAACTAAATTTGGAGTGGAAGCACCAGGCTCCAGTTGTTGTTCCATATTACTATCCACACTTGGTCTACTTGTATGGACGCTGTTTGCTGTATCAAAATTGCCACTAGGGAAAGGTAGTGATGATGAACCCCCATTATTTTGATAGAACTGATGAGGTACATTGTAATTTGGTATTGGACGATCAATCAGGTTTTGTCTAGGAAATTGCTGCTGCAGGTGTTGTTGAGGTATCTGCTGCTGTAATGGTTGTGGTGGTGGTTGCATTCCTTGATTAATTGGGCTCGTGTGGTTCTGAGTGAATGGTTGATGTGGTTGATGTGGTTGATGAGCAGTTTGGTGCACTTGATGTTGACCTGGAAGATTCGGTTGACTTTGAGGTTTTTGTTGATTATTATGATGTTGAGGGTTCATTTGAGGAGCATTTCCCACAGCATACATCCGGTCTGACACATTTGGTACATTACCAGAGACACCATACGGCAGTATTGGTGGAATGAATCCTTCACTATTAACGGGTTTGCCATTGGGTCCATATTTATATAGCCCTTGTATACCATTCGTATCCGGGAATGGATGTCCAATTTGCGGAGGCTCACCAGGAGAATTTCTTTTTATAGGCCCTATTCCCCCATAATTCATATCATTAGGACTTAATTCAACTTTATCAGATTCGTAGTAGCAAAGATGTGCAATCGACTTCTTTTTACATGATCCACAAACTGGTTTTATTCTATCACACTTTGACTTCCGCTTTCTACAGACTGAGCATGATGCTGGTATTCTCTGCCGCTTTTTATAGGGAAATTCCATACTGTAGTTAATTATCCAACCTTTAGCGTAAGCTCAATGCCGTTCTGTTTCTCCTATGACAATTATACCTGTCCAATTAGCATATATCCTGAAAAGTATTAAACACTTAACTATCCTGTGAACCAATGTATATTAAATAAATAATTATCATCAACCGCTTATGTAAACTATTATGTAAGCATCTTTTTACTATGTAGGACCATGTCGGGCTTTTTCATTTATCCCAGGCGAAACACCTCTAATAATGACTAGGGATCGATAAGCATCTCCCTCCTTGACGTGGCGTTAAGGTCTCTATAAGATTGTGTTTTTTTGAAATGAGCAGGGTGTATGCAGCTAGGGATATTTTGCAGCTTCCATCAATATACAGGAGTCTGCTACAATTCAATCCTTATAGGAGATCAGGGGACACGAAGAATAACATGAAAAATCAACGGCTATATAGATGCTCGGAAAAGATTCAGGTTGGTGGATGTTCCTTTCTTTACGTTTTGGGGGTACTCGAACTAAAGTGGTGGAATATTTTGGTGTTGATAATGTTTACTTCATGACCATCCGAGATTATGCTCGGTGGATACATCTGCCAGAGACGAATCACTACTCAATTACGGTATATGTAGTACACCAGCATGCAAAGATATACTAGCCCCTGATTTTAAGAGGTGTGGATCATCAGTAAATACGACAGGCGAGTGAAGATGAGTGCATGCATACATCGACTACGAATAGTAAAAATCTAATAGACAAGCACATTTCTTTCGACATAAGGCTTTACTAATTGCACTAGACACTTGGATGTAGGCCGAAAAAAAAAAGTATGAGGGGTATGGAGTAGGAATTTATAGAACAAGTAGAGGGTGCAAATCCAGGCAAAAGTTAAACCAAGTTTAACAACACTAGCCATAATACCACTTTCTTTTTCACAGATGGCTAACACGTATTATTTCTGACTCATCTATGAATACTCTACTTGAATTGTCATATATTAAGGGTACCAGAAATGCTTGTAACGATTGTGTAACAACTTGTTGTCATCAAGCGACAGGAAATGCGACAGGAAATCTCACGCGTTAATTTATCAACAGAATAAGTTGTCCTAGATCAGCGTAAGTATAAAGAAAAGTGCAACTTGAAATAGAAATACTGCTGAGGATGAGTAGATCAGGATCAGAAGAAGAACATTTTTCTTCTGATGAAGATATGGGAGAATTGGGAGACTTCATCGTTTCAGATGAAGAGCCAAATCACGAATCAGCTCGAGATGACGATGCAGAAGTGCATAATGATAGATTATTATTAATGACTAGCACATTGAAGCCGAACGAATCCCAAACACAAAAGCTCTTGAGAGCACATATATCTGTATTGGTATCAGCTTTAGGGGGACCCGATCATACATCGCCTATATCCCCACCACCATACAAGTTGGGACAAGACGCGTTAGCATGCTTAAAGGATATTAAAAGATGGATCAAATCGGTAGACGAAAAAAAGGGCAATTTTGACGTAGCTCTAGCATGTGCTGATTCAGGTCTTGTAGTTAATGACCTAGTTGTAATTTTATGTCAATGGGATAGCCAACAAAATTCAAAGAAGCCGTTAAAGAATGCTAGAACCATGGAAAAGATCATGCTCTCGTGCTTGGAATTGTTGGTGTTACTTACCTGGCCTACAGATTTGAATCCTGAGCTGTCTGAGAACCAAAAGCTCCATTTTGCAAGTGTGAGGAAAAGTCAAATTGTTTACAAAAAGCATATTTTAGCATATAACAAAGGTCAAACTCTTAAGGCAGTAATTAGACTTGTGTTACCTACTATAGCCAAGCATAGAATAGATAGAGAGCCAAGGGATAATGCTATATTAAGGTTGGTCCTATTTTTTATAAGAAATGTTTTGAATATTGAACCAGCAAACTCTTCTATATCTACCAAGTCCAGAAAACATGTCACTAACTTGGATAATCTACCTACAAATGTTAATTATGATGATATCTCTATGAATGCTGTATTATCGTGTTTCAAAAAAAATAAGGTCTTGATGTTCTTACTTACACTTTCAGGCTCGTTGGGTACTGATTTTGATAAAGAAACATTCGGCCAGCCGTGTCTAGAATGTATTTATTTGATCATTAAGGGGGTCAAAACGCAGGATATTTTGAATCCACAGCAGAATTCAAAACAACAACAAAGATACCAACGACAGCAACAGGAACAATCTCAACAAGACCAGAATCCTATCCAGTCTGTAACAACAACATCAGGATTAGAATTACAAGACTTATTAAGCGAAGAATCAAAAAGAAAAAAGTTTCAAACTCAAAACATTTCTACAAGACATGGTAGATTTGGATCTCTTCTATCTATTCAAGGAAATAATACATCCTATGTGATATCAGGCCAAGAAGCGTTACTAGATACCAACCTGTCACTTGCAAAATTGGATAAGTCAAAAAAATGGAATAGCCGTTCGCACTTCAAATACGATTCAGATGATTATGTTAAAGCTACTTCAGAATTCTTGAACGGCTCATCGGTTATCATATTGAAAGAATTCATTGAACAATTCCTCACGGGGGGGTGCTTTAATACTTTAATTGAATGTATAGGATGGTTATTATCTGGAACTCATGACTTGAATTACGTTGATGATTATGAAAAGGCATGCTATTTCTTAACAGTAGCTTGGTTCTTGAATTATAAAAGAGAACGGAGTGTGTTATTCGATATTCATGGAACTGCTAGTCTTGATGAGGATGATGATGGATTGGATTACGGATCTGTTAGTGCAGGATTAAGTGAAGTTAATTTCATCCTTATAATCTCTTATTTTAGAGAATCATTTGAAGCTAAAAATTGGAATTCGCTTCATGTCGCCATGATTTGTTTTAAGGAATTGTTATTAATATCTTATTCTATATTTTCGAAAGCTTCCGACAGGGGACTTCAAGGTGAGCAAGAAGCTGATGATGACCAAGAAGAAGTAGATAAGGAGTTAGCGGAAGGTATAATTAGAAAATTATTTTCATTTAATGACTTCTTGAATATTGTTATTCAAATACCTCAAACAGCCTCCAAACATTCTCCAGAATATTTAAGTGTTTGCATTTCGGTCGTTCATATTATTTTAAAGTCCTTTGAAAGCTTTGCAAACGAAAATATCAAACTTTATATTCAAACAAAGCGTAAGCGAACTAAACAAAATAAGAAAAGTATAAATACTCTAGATAGAGCAACGGAGGAATCCCTCAGAGACGTAATTGAAGGCTCCGACGATGAACTTGAGAACGAAAGGGTAAAAGAAGTTTCAAGAGAAAGAAGATTAGACTTCAAGGCCACAGAAGTTAGATTTTTTCAAACTTCAATAGTATCCACTTATGTTGAGTATTTATCCCGATTTGAAGAATTAACTCATGAAGAAATTAAAAGATGCTTGTCATATTTCCATAGACTATTTGTTATCAGAAAGGATTTTACAGGATTATATCGAATGGACTTTATGCATATCTTACAAAACTTACGAATCTATCTACCAAAGGGTTCGAGTACAAGGGATCATGTAGATGAATTTATTTATTACTTCATGAAAAAATTCAAGAATGCATTCGAACGTTTTCCAAACCCAGTTGAAATCTTGTTCCCCAGATTTGAAGACATGGAATATAAAATATACTTAGCTACTGGTGACCTTTACTTGAAGCCTGAGAAGAGTAACAAACGATCATCAGTCAAAATAGCTAAGGATATGGAGTTCATTCGAGACAATTTCAGTCTTGATGAAAAGCTCAAAATTCTTGTTACTGTCTTGTACCTTCAAGAAAAGGAACCATTAGTAACCTGGGTTATTCAAGAGCTTACAAATATTACAACTAACCGTCTTATGAATTTATCGGCAGAACAAGTTGAATCAAATACTAATGAGGCTGTCCACTTGTATCCATTAGAGCAACATCGTCGTTTATTAATTAATAATCCCTATATTAGGTTACTATTGACTTTAGTTGGGTTTAAAGTTCCATTCATATTGGAAGAGCCTTGTGAGCTTCCCGACAACGTGGAAACTCTGAATCTAGTTGAATGCTTAGATTCCATCAAAATGTGGTCAAGCAAACAGCCTGTTGTTTTTGATGATGGCAAAGATGCCATGTTTTTCTTGAGGACGAAAGAAGGCTATAATTACGAACAAGATGATGACTATGACGGTGGTCATTATGATGAAAATGACGAGTCAATTGCGTTTGAAACAGGTGCCAATCCAGACGGTGACAGACATAATCTAAATGAACTCGATGAATTGGATAAATTAGAAGCAACATTAAAAGGCAAATCCAGTACAGATACCGATTTACCTAGAGGAGTTGCAAGAATCAAAAATAGGAAATCTAAAAAGGATTTACCAAAAAGATCGAGTGGAAAAGCCCATTCTCGTAAGAGGCACCTTGCACGTCGTCCCCCAAAATCATTCAAAGTTGTATCGGACGGTGAAGAAGAAAAACAAGAAAAGACTAAATCTGCAGAATTTGTTCATGGTTCTGACGACGAATCAGATTACGAAAAGGAAAACGAGTTTTTTGATAGGGAAGAGAGATTGCGTCGTTTGCTTGAGGAATCTGGTGGAATAGTTAATCCAAAGCAGTTAGCCGAGTTTAAAGTAGCATGGTCTAAACTAGAATCTACCAATGGATCTGATACCGCAATTTCTGTATCAAAAGCAATTGAGAACACTTCATTTGTCGAAGATACAATGCCACACACACAGAATATACCGGACGAACCCACGATAGAGGCAATTAATGAATCAAATTCCGATATTGATTCGTCGTCTGATTCAGAGCCAGAATTAAATGGTAGTGAGATAGAAAGTGTCTCAGTTATAGAGAAAGATAAGGCTAGTGTGAGTTCCTTTACTCCAGAGATACATAATGAAACTAACTCAAAGAAAAGGCATATCATACTTCAAGATAGCGATAATGAAGATGAAGTAGACATATCCACTGATAATCATGAAATTAAAACAAGTAATCCACGAAAGAGAAGAGTAGTAATTAGTGATGACGAAGAATAATAACTCTTTATTTTACTCTATTACTCTAGAAATATAATATACATTTAATAAATTATCCTTTTTTTTATTCTCCAATGCAATGACCACCATCTGCATCTTTCATGTTCGTTATTATACTCATGTACGAGCTAATAAACATGACTAAAAACCCGAACGTAGTACACGCAATGCATGGAACCAACTTCCAAATTATAAATTCTCTTCTATCTGCAAATCCAGCATTTTTATAGTCTGTTCTATTCCATGACAATTTCAAATGACATAATGGAGGGATGATATATGCCATTAGCGAGGCAGATGTAGCACCGATTAATTCTAAAATAATTCCCAAATTACATGTAAATAATGATACTGCCATTGACGTAAAGACCAATAACGAGGTTATAATGAAATGCTGACGTGAAGATAACTCGAGATGTGAAGTGCTACCACCTTGGGTCTTGTGGTTAGCAAATACAACCTCCTTTAGGACGTCTCTTACCACAAATATTTCTAGGGGAAAAGTAGTCAACATATTCAATCCAAAGCAAAATCTCGCTAAATTGATCCAATTATCATCACTTCGGAAATTGTTTAAGATGTTTCCTTTCGTATTGTCGCCAAAATTAAGAAAGCCGTTCACGCCCATAACAAAGCAGCAAATCATAGAAACAGCACAAGCAATGTGTGTCAATTTAGCAAATCTGGCTAAGGTAGCATTCCTCAAAGAATTATATATAAAAATCGTATTATGATGGCAAACCAATGCAAAGGAGATGACTGAAATGCCCTGAAAAATATTGATATTAACAGTCCACTCTAATTTTGTTAAAGGAGCTTTCAATTCATTATCTGTAAATGGGCCCCTTACAACAGTGAGTAGTACAATGATAAGCATTCCAATCAATGCAAAGCCTGAAGCTTTAGCTAATTTAGAAATATCCCTATTTAATGATAATGGATATGAAATGCACGTAGTAAAAATGACAATTATAGTATTTCTACGAAACATCCAACCAATAACTGATGAAGAGGCAGTAATAGAATCGGGTATAAATGCTTTCAAAACATGAGGTATAGTATCCCCAATGATAACGCAGAAGGCCATACACCCTCCATATGCAAATGAACTTATTGTAAACAAAAGCACAATTTTACCGTATTTACCAAAGCAGTAATTCACGGTATCTTGATATGATCTAGTCTGTGATATTTCAGCATTCATAACCATTAGTCGTAAAGTCCAATCAATCAAGAGTGACAAAAATATCAACACTATTATTCCTCCAATTAGCCCACAATTCTTCAAAGCAAACGGTTGACCAATGATTCCAGCACCAAGGATAGAATTCGCCATATTCATGAATGCCATGTTCATACTAGACTTTCCCTCTTGCGATTCAGCTTCATTTTGATCTTCTTGTCCTACTCGATCTGTAGTTGAATTTTCATAATCTAGCGATGATAAAGATTGAAGCTCAAATTCCTCATCTTGCAGTTGACCATCATCTGAATTATTATTATTATTTATTTGCGGTATCGATACATATGACTGCTCTTGATTCCTTGTTTTACTCATAGTAGCCATAGTCCGTGTGATTCTCGTAAGTAACTTTATATATTTTGTATACGTATCTTGATAAAGTCGCGAAGTCATTTCAAAATGACTTCTTCTTCTTCATACAATAATCGTTTAGATCCTTCATAAAATTAGCCATGATAAGACCATTAGGATACGATTCACACGCCAATTCATCTGACTTCATTTGTGGCATTTGTCACAATGCAAAATCCCAGTATACTTGTCCAAACTGTTCAGCATTGTATTGTTCCTCAGAATGCTATAACTCAGAGAAGCATTCATCCTGCTCCGAGAAATTTTACCAAACTACCATTGAAGAACATCTCCAGAGGGGCGAAAGACATGAACCGACGCATAATGAATTGAATGATAGAAAGAAATTGGTAGCGCTTTTACATCAGTATAACAATAATTCGCCTAGGGCTCAACGCTCATCCGAAGGTAAAACCAACACTAGTCAGGAATGGAAATACATGGCACCAAAAGGGGTGGAAGACAGCCTACAGTCACTTCAAAATGAGTTCAATATCGAAGATTTACACAAGCTAAATCATGCAAATAAATCTGCACATGGCGATTACGAAGATGAAGATAGGCCATTGACGCAAGAGGAAAGCCAGGAGTTTGAAACAATTGTCAATGAGTCTTCAACTGAGCAGCTATTAAGTATGTTGACACCAGAACAACGGAAAGAATTTGAAAATTTGGTCAAAGATAGTAACTACATAGTAGATGATGACGATGATAATAGCTGATTATATAATCAGAAGATTATGCTCATCTTCGATAAAATCTAAAATAAATTAATTCACTATCAACAACTAAAAGAATAAAACAAAGGACAGATCAATATGGGAGATAAAAAGCATTTCAAGGGAAAAAACCCATATACCGATCGTCGTGAATTTAAGTCCAAGGAAATTAAGAAATCGTTAGTGCATAGGGCGAGATTGAGAAAGAATTATTTTAAATTATTAGAAAAAGAGGGCATAAACCACGAGCCAGAACAAAATGATGACGAAAGAGCAGAAAGTCAGAAATCAGAAGAACTCAGAGGACCACGCATACCAGATTCTAGAAAACAACCTCCTAAGAAGCCTATGAACTTTGCTGAAAGAGCCAAAATTGCTAAGGAGAGGAAAGAACACAGTAGACAGGCCAAATTGAAGTCAATACAAGACCGTCGTGAAAATATAGAAAAGAAATCGAAAGAGCGTGAAAGACGGAAGGACAACCTATCCAAAAAGACTAAATCGGGACAACCTTTAATGGGACCAAGAATTAATAACTTGTTGGATAAAATCAAGAAGGATATAGAATAAGCATTCAGATCGTTTATTACTGAAATAGTAATGAATTATGGCATTTTTTAAATAAATAAATAATAATAATTATAATGTATTAATTATGTACAATAGACTGTAGTCTTTAAAGACCTATTTTTTGTTTAAGGTTATTGATCGACATTACCCAATCATAAACGTATAATGAACTAAGTCTTCTCTGGTAAAACCACCAAGATTTTATACTTTGAATAGCCCATCCAAATGAAAATTTCTTGTAGTTTTTATTGATGTTCTCTTTTTTTTCTTCGAAAACACATTTAGCGCAATAATTCGCCAAAATCAAGAATGTACGTTCTTGGCCCAATGGATTGTCTAAACCTTCATCTAGATGTCTAGTTAAATCATTCGTTTTTAAAATCAACAAAATAACTCTGGGCATTCTACTCAACATGTCCATTAGGTCTTCTAATACTCCATTATCATCTTGCAATTGAGATTGCATATTTGTGATTTCCTCATCAGATCTTGCTTTAGAAATATCATAATGAAGAGCATTTTCTGGATCCCGTCCCGTTATTGCTGATGCGAATATCCGAAACTTTTGTTCTCCTTGAATACCTGTAATCTTCTCTGCATATTCTCTCATCTTTGGGATATCATTATCTAAAAGTGATAACCAGAAATGTGAATAATCACGTTTCATTTTCAAAGGAATTTGTCTGTACAACCCATGATCATATAAAATGATCTCAAAATTGTGACCATTACGAGATTTTGAAGATCTAATAGCAAGATTGCCACCATGTGGATCGCAATGCAAACCCACATCTGGGGTAAAGATCATATTATTGAAAATATGTGACAAACAAGAGGAAACATCAGACGTGTTTATCTTGTTCTTTTTCATATACTCCAAATCATCCAATCTTGCACCCTCTACATATTCCATTATTAGTATTCTTGGGTTAGCAGATACTATCTTCGGAATTCGTAAAGCTGTCTCTTTTTGAAAATCCTTAAAGTATTTCGCAGTTCTTTCACTGTTTTCCGCCTCATTTACAAAGTTCAATTCTACATAAATTGAACTCTGTAATTCATCTCCTAACCAGGTTAACGGATACTCTGGAAAAACTTTGCGCATCAATCTGAATACTCTCTGAGTCATATACACATCCAACGGAACGAATTCCTCAAGGGCCGGATGTTGAACTTTAACTGCAACCCTTTCTCCGCCATTCCTTAATGTTGCAATATGTACCTGTGCTAACGAAGCAACTCCAACAGGATCTGGATTAAATTCACTAAATAATTCATTCATCGAAACACCCAAATCTGATTGAAACATATTTTCAATCTCTTCCAATGAAGACCGTGGACATCTGTCTTGTAAAGGTATCATAGTATCAGTCCATTCACGAGGTAGCAAATAAGTCAAAGCAGTAATATGTTGACCCAACTTGATATAAATTCCGCCGTTTTTTTCAAGCGCTTTTAAAGTAATATGTGCTGCTTTGAGATGTGTTTCTGATAATGCCTTACTTCTATCGGTTGGAGAATCATATTCTGCTTCTAGTGTATCCTTATAAAGCTTAAAGCAGCGAATTGTAGCTAATGCAACAACACCCACTCTATCAGCCGTTAATGCGACATGCCTAGTAGAATTACGAAACGAATCATTTGCTGCATAAAGAATAGATCCACCCAACCCTAGGGCAATACCAAATTTGAAAAATGCATATTTAGATTTCGTTTTTCTATTCGTTTTGGTGGTCAACAGCTTTTTGCATATTATATTAAAGTTACCATTTGAGCAATTTTTTGGCAAACTTTTCAGTAAAATCGATCTAGAGTACAAATTGCTAGCTATTTTATGTCGATAGTATGGCTTTACCAGGAACATTTTATTGTCTAACTACTCTTTCATCCCATCTGAAAGTTTCTTCAATTCTATATTATCATTATTGAATTCTCGGTTCATTAAACGCACGTGATAAACTATCTCTAATATATTCTATCTAAATAGATCTTCAATAGATGGATTATCAAAACCATTATCCTGAATATCCTGAACTTGTTTGAACATTAGTTCATTCTGCAAAAATTCAAAATCAAAATCATTAAATTCTTGCCAATTAACACCAAAATTAGGAATTTCCAAGTTGGAATCTTCCGATTTAAGCATCCCCGGTACCATCACATCATCGACAGTATTCATAGAGTTTGGAATATTATCAATTATGCCGTTATTCGTGGTAATTGGATCGAAACCATGGATATTAGAATTGTTCGAGTTCGTTGCAGGCAGATAACTTTCTTTTGGTGACCCGCGCACTGGACACTTGAGTTTTTGGGTACTCGATCTAATATTACTCTCCACTGTATTGTATCCATTCGGTACGATTCCCATGAGCTGGGGAGAGGCGTAGTCTAGTGGAAATTTTCTTTTCTTAGACAGTGGTGGTTCCATAAAGGCTTTATGATCAATAGGGCATTTACCAGGGTTTGAAGGATTTGAATTAACATCTTCATCCATTGGAGTGGTTATTTGAGAAATAGGGCATTTTGAATACCCTGACTTATCATCCATTGTAGAAATTTCATGCCTGACAGGGCACTTCTGGGCTCCGCCGGTCTTTCCCGGTATTACTGGACACAGGACCATATTCTGTGAATTCATACCCTTAAACATCGGAATATTCGCATGAACTGTAGCATAATCAATAGAACTCATCTTGTGTGAATTTTTGATGAATGTTAAATAGAAATGCCAAAATTTTGATAGTTTTATGGCCTTTTCTTTATCTGTAAGATAGCTCTCAATCAAAAATGAGATTGTTTGATTAATATAATTAACAATTCTTTTATGCAATGCTTGATATACCTCCTCTTGGTCTTCAGTTTTTATTTCTCCAACCGCTAGTCTATTATCGATTATAGATATCAATTTATTAATTAATACTGGTGTGCTACTCAGCTCATCAGTACTACCAAGTCTTAACAATAACCCAATAATGAAATGTATTGCTCGTGTTAACAGTTCAGTTATTAGAAGTAGTATATGTTGAGAACCTGAATTACGGGGTTCATTTTTCATAACAACTTCAACAAATAACATAAATTCACAAAATTCTATAAAAAAATCACAATATAGCTTATTAAGGCTGGTGTCGTGCGATTCTTCTTCATTTTGTAGAATTATAAGGTAAGATAAATGTAAACTTAAATAATGAAAAATGCATCTTGTTTCTAAATTTCTTATTGCTGTGCTATTATGCAAGTTGTTATCCAATTTCCAATCCCTACATTTTTCAATCATTTTAAGGAGCTTATTTGTAGTTAGTTTTACTTTATCAACATTGATAATACCGTATCTCAAATTATAATAAATTCTAGAGATAAGATAATTGACGCTAAGGGTGGTTACTAATTCTTTATCTTCAACCGTTCCATGATCACCAATAAATATGATATGATTATTGTACTTGTCACATTCTTCTATTTTATCATAAAACTTAAATATCAAATCAAGAAGTTTTTCTGGGTGACTGATTAAATCTGTTATATTAAACGTTGCCAAATTCATTAACCGTATTAGATCGGACCATAAATAGCACATACCTAGCCTAAGTTCTCTCAATCTTTGTTCAGACTCATTATGAGTTAAGCTGATATCTTGTGGGTTCTTCCAAACTTCTAAATAACCTCTTTTACTGAAAATATTACTTAATAGCTGTGTGAATATTGTTTGGAACCTGGATTTTGAATCAGACGATGCACCCTGTTTTTTATAATTGGCAACTTCCCGATTGAGGAATGCCGTGCAACATAAAATATAAATCAAAGATTCTGAAATTTTCTCATTAAATATCTTATCATTGGATATGTGCAACAAGTATTCCTGAACTATAAGCAATATGTTATTAGCCTTGTATCCAAGACCCAAGTATAGTACTTCTGAAGGAAACAAGGATCTGAATTCAGGACTGATACTATTAATATCACCTATAACTGCTTCCAGTCTTATTATCTCTAAAGACTCTTCAATAATTAAAGAGAGCATGCACAAGTATAACCCTTTCAAAATAAGATTAAAGTAACGGTCTTCGTCACTTCGGGACTGATCATCGGCAAAATTCAATGAAAATATGCCACCATCTTGTCCGATTATAGCTTGTATTTCTGTTTTATAGAAAGAAAGTAAATTCCTGGATTCAGTGGTACATTTCCTCTCATGAAAATAGAAATCTATTAAAAAATTGATTTGAACGTAATTCATCGTCTCATTACCTCTTAATAAACCTAAAATAGAATTCCAAATGTTTTGTATCTTTTTCAAGAAACTCATACTATCAGCCGAGAGTTCGCTATGTCTATCAATGGATGCTATATGTTCGAAATCTTTATGAAAAGGGCAAGCTTTATCCGGGCTCTCGGTCTCATCACTTTTCGTAGTAGATGCCGGTGTTGTAGTAGATACTGGAGTTGGCGAAGGCTCAAACATAAAATTAAAATCACATTCAACCACAGGGCATTTCAGATAATTGTTAGACGATTTTGCGCCTGATACAAGAGAATGTGTAAAGTCGATTTCATTAATCTTATATGATTTTTTCTTGGATACTGGATTCAATACACTTGGACTAATATCCAGTTCATTTTTCGCCTTAGAATTTATTAAGTTCATCTTGTATAGGTGGTAAACTTTTTGCAAGTTGGTAATTTTATACCATAATGTAGTCAAATGAGGATCTAATTTAATTATACTGATCCATGCATAAATATCAACATACGCTTGTTTATGTTTCCGTGACTGGCGTTTCACACTGTAAGACTTGTCATTATTTATATCGATTGTGGATTTCGAGCTAACGTTCAATTTCTCTAAAATCGTTACTTTTAACTCCAGGTCACCGTTAGTTTGAGCTTTAGCGTATTGATGTTGTGAATCTGTAAGTTGTCTCTTCAACTCCTCGATCTCTTTTCGTTGTTCATTAATCAACTTGTCTTTCTGAATCTGTTGTTTCTTAGAATTCTCAGGTTCTCCGATATGGCTTTTAGACTTACCATTATTAGCACTTGGCTTTGTTGCACCATTATTATTAGACCAAACAGGTTCTACGTACTCACATAAGTGAGGAACACCATTCTTGACGCATCCGCCACAGGCTGGTTTGGCTTTATCACACTTGACTTTCCGTCTTTTGCAAATGAGACATGATAACGGTACCCTATTTCTTTGTTTTTGCTTCAGTGCAGTGTTTCCTAATTCATTAGCCATAATATAAACATACTACTCGATGAGATATGTCGCTTTCAAATACCTCAAATGAATGCAGAAAATGAATTCAATATAGTGGTCTTTATGTTCTATATCAATGCTTCTCCGGATAAAATCCAATGAAATTTGTGTTTGTGCGACTTTTTATGATTAGCTTAAAGTATCATTTTATAAAATGAAAAGTAGTTTCCATCATAGTATACAAGCAAATAAAATCATTATACCATGTCCGCTGGTATTCCCGTTAAATTATTAAATGAAGCACAGGGACACATAATATCGTTAGAACTAACTACCGGAGACACATATCGTGGAAAATTACTTGAAAATGAAGATAATATGAATTTATCGCTCTACGATGTAACAATAACTAAAGGTAGAACAGGAAACACATCATACATGAATCAAGTGTTTGTGAGAGGTTCGATGATTAGGTTTGTTATGGTACCGGAAATTTTGAAGAATGCACCAATGTTTTTCATGAAACCGGGCGATAAACCGAAGCCACCTGTTAGAGGACCGCCACCAAAGAGAGTTAAGCATTAGAGAAAGTTCCATTGTAATATAGTGAAAGATAATATAACGTCTACAATATTAATATACAATCGTAATATAGTATAATTTATTGTAAAAATATAGATTTAATAAAAATTCGAAACAAAGATCTATTTCATGGTTACCAACTCTTCAGCTGAAGTTGGGTGGATAGCAACACAATTGTCAAAATCTTTCTTAGTAGCACCCATCTTGATAGCTACACCAAAACCTTGCAATATTTCTGCACTTGAATCACCAACTATGTGAAGACCAACCACCTTTTCATCCTCACCAGCACAGACAATTTTATAGGAAGTTGGAGATTTTAATGAATCATCCTCCATCATAGCATAATACATCGCATTGAACTTGGACTTGTATATCTTAATTTGGTCTTCTCCATACTTCTCTTTAGCTTCCTTACATGATAAACCAATCGAGCCTGCTTCAGGATGACTGAAAATGACAGATGGAATATTAGAGTAATCCAAGTGGTCATTTTCAAAAGCTTTATCACCAGAAAATAATCTGTTAGATAATCTACGGCCAGCAGCTATAGCAACTGGAGTTAACTCAACCTTACCAATGACATCACCTAATGAAAAGATGTTTGGGTTAGCAGTTCGTTGAAATTCATCCACATCAACTTGCTGTTTATCATTTAACGTAACACCTACTTTGTCTAAACCAATATTAATTAAAGACTTTCTACCCATAGTCCAGACAAGTTCATCGACTTCGAGTACTTGGCCATTACCCAAAGTAATTTTCTTTCTGTCACCGTCAATTTTCTCAACTTTACTGACACTTCCCGATTGCTTAATTACATTAACCCCCAATTTATCGGTGTAATAATCTGTAATTGAATTTTGAATAGATTCGTCGAAAGATCTTAACACGGTATCACCTCTGATAACCAAGTGAGTTTCTGAACCTAAGGCTTTAAAAATACCAGATAATTCTACACCGATGTAGCCAGCACCAACCACAGCAACCGATTTTGGTTGCTTTTGTAATTCGAAAAAGCCGTCTGAGGTTGTTCCCAATTCATGCCCTTCAATATTTGGAGGATTTATAGCATATCCTCCTGTCGCAATTAAAGTCTTGCTTCCAGAGAAAACAAGTTTTTCGTCTTTCTTAAACTCCTTGCCCTCTTCTAAGAACGATAACTCTTGGTCTCCGGTTAAGGTAACCTCAACATCACCATTCGAATTGACAAAATGAGCAAATCCATATATGTAATCAACTCCTTCATTCTTCAAGTTTCTTTCGTAAATTCCATTTAATCTTTTAACATACGCATCTCTTTTATCTTTAAAAGTAGACCAGTCGAAGTCACCATATTTGACTTTGCCATCAGTAGACGATAATCCGTATGATTTCAAGTGGTGCCTTTTTTCTGCCAAATCCCCTGCATACCACATAACCTTCTTTGGAACACATCCAACATTGACACAAGTTCCACCCATGCTGTTAAATTTCAGTTCAATTAACAATACTTTAGCCCCGTATGAAGCTGCTCTACGTGCCGATGCGACACCACCTGAACCACCACCGATGACCAAATAGTCGTATTTCCTAATAGCTTGTAAAGGTGCCATACTAGATGAAAGATGTCTATTAATTGTTTGTAATCGTATAGATGATTGTTTAAACAATTGCCTAGTAGAATTATTAAACATACTTAGCCGTAGCTTACTAATTTTTATAAGTGGAAGCAACCAGGTTTTATAAATTGCGACCCAGAAAGTCACGTTGTATTAACAAAAAGTCGATCGATCTAGGCTATCATAATATGTCATCATGCTATGTAATCATTAACTTCTATAGATACTATGTAGACTCTTCGATATCTTCGGTGTCCTTAATACATCGTCTTAAGAATGCTATCGTAAAATTGTACAATTCTTCAGATACTTCATCAGTATCGCCCATATCGACAGCTTTGGGGCTATTATAGTTGATGAAAAACCTGTCGTACAAGTGATCAAGCTTGTAAGAAACTATGCTTTGGAATTTTTCGTAGTCGAAATCTGTGATTTCTATTTTTTTCAGTTTGCGCTTATTAATTCCCAACCGGTTATTCTGGAGGGTATTTAAATACACCTTGGTATCATGTAACAATTGGTGGTAAAGTCTATCCTCGTCAATAAGCAGACCTATTTCTTCCTTGTCCTCGTGGAAAGCCTTCAGTGAATTGGCCGCATTATCAATAGCAGAGTACGGCGTGTTATTTGTAACATATTCCTGGTTTACATTGTTGTTATAACCAAACATTTTGTAGAGTAAATCCTTTTTCTGTGCAAGTTGGATCTTCCGCTTATTTCCAAGCGACAGATATTGGCTAAAGAGCTTCTCTTGTGTCGCTTGCTGCCGCTTTCTATAGTCCCAGAGCAATTGCTTCTCCTCATCGTCGCCAAAATTAGTTACATTTGGTCCTTGTTTCTGTCTATCATTAAAACGGGTCTGTATGATACCAAGCTCTCCTTTCGTGTATCCTGGAAGCGACTGTATTATCTCGTTGTTGCGGTGTTTCATTTCTTTCGCATCTTTCGGCTCTCCGTCTGCCTCGTCATCATCGTCACTCTCACTTGATGTATCATTGAAGATCAAATTCTTCGTAATCTTTTCCGCCGACTCCCATGCCTTAACCTGCGATTCCTTAACTGCCGGTGGTAAGCACTCGTCGTCTTGCAAATCACAGTCATTCGAATAATTGGTGAACACCGAATAGTCGTACGTAGTCATGTCTAGGGGCTTTCGAATGGCAAACGCCTGCGTTCCTGCCCGGTCTGTCCCTTTCTCATCCGTCATATACTTCTTCAGTGATTGTAGGTTCAACAATTTGTTCTTCACGTTGCTCGGACGTGACATCATCGATGGCCGTTTAGCCTTCTGATCCTTCGGGTCTTTTTGCTCCCTCTGCATCCGCTGCTGTTGTTTCTGATGCTGGATCCGCCTGATATTATTACTGGGGGTGCTGAGTATCGATGTCGACCCCGACGAAACTGTTCTGGTGGTATTCTGGTTGAGCGACTCATTGGGGTTCAAGTACGTCTGATCTGCTGAGTGCTGCGATGGGATCCGTCTAAATCGATTCAAATTATACTTGGGTCCATTACTCGAACTCATAGTTTGTCGATCTATCTCCTCAGTCCGTCTATGTCGTCTATCACTAATTGTGCCTCTATATCAACCCACTATTCAGTACTACCATACAACTGTAGCGCTAGAATACCAGATAACTGATATAAACACAAACAAGCCTTTTAAAATCTAGATTACTCTTTTAGGCAGTAAATGTAAATAATCCCACCTTTAGGGATTGCTAGCCTCGCCTTCTCTTTACGGCAATAAATAGATAATGTACTTCCATACTTTCTGAGGATCGCGTGTCTGGACCTCGGCAGAATTTTTTTCCTTCCATACCCACTTTAGGGCAGACGCCCTGTGGTCTTGTGGACCAAGCTGCTGAAAGTTTGAACTTCACACGACCACTCATTTTGTGTAATTTTCACTGATTTGCTAACAAAATTCTCTTGGGCCCAATTCTCACAGTGCGACGACAGAGTATGGGATAATTTTTCAAAGAACAATTAAAAAATTTTCAGAATAGGATCTTTTAATATTAGCATAATAATTAAGACAAGATGGCTACTGAATTGACCGTTCAATCTGAAAGAGCTTTCCAAAAGGTTCGTATTATATAAGTTATAAGCTTGATAGTTGGGCAGGCTCACCATACATTGAATAAAAATCGAGTACAAGAATATGAAGTAAAGTTGGACATAAATGAAAAATTAACCAAATATGAAGAAAAAAGAGTCACCGAAGATTGAAACAGAGGAAGAGGATCGATAGGTATATGATAGTGGGTGAAGATACTGAAAGACAAGAAGAAGATTCGTAAGTCCATAAAGGATGATAATGACTACAATAACTAAAATAAGAGAGCAGAAGTGACGTGAAAAGTGAATGATGAACATATGACTTCAGTGTATGGTGGGATTGACAACGAAAGCGTTGGAGTCGTGAAGGTGATTCTCGATGAAGTGAAAATTTTTAGAGCGTAACATACTAACAGACTATAGCAACCACATATCTTTACCAACCCAAAGGCTAAGGCTAACAGAAAGACCAAGAGATGGTTTAAGGAAGTTGGTTTAGGTTTCAAGACCCCAAAGGCTGCTATTGAAGGTAACTACGTCGACAAGAAGTGTCCATTTGTCGGTTCTGTCTCCATCAGAGGTAAAATTTTAACTGGTACTGTTGTCTCCACCAAGATGCACAGAACTATTATCATTAGAAGAGACTACTTACATTATGTTCCAAAATATAACAGATACGAAAAGAGACACAAGAACTTAGCTGCTCATGTTTCCCCAGCTTTCCGTGTCCAAGAAGGTGATGTCGTTGTTGTTGGTCAATGTAGACCAATCTCCAAGACTGTTAGATTCAACGTCTTAAAGGTTGCCGTTTCTAAGTCTAAATCTAAGCAATTTACTAAGTTTTAAGTAAACTTGTAATCCCAAGTTTATATTAAACATTTGTTTATAAGGGTTTCTTTTAATGTTACATTAGTTATTAAATTGTAAATGTATTAAATATATACATTAGTAATATAGTTATTGTAGACGCAGTTGTATTATTAATCTAACTATTAGATGGTGCTTCGATCTTCTTAACGTCGAGCTTTTTGGAGTCAGTTGAGCCCCATTCGACTAGTAAGGTTAGCAATTTGCCCTCGTCGTGCAACTTCTTCATATCATCACACCCTCCTCTGCTTTCGAGTGAAGTTCCGACTAAAACATTAGGTACGGTCCCACGTCCCGTGGTCTCTTCTAAGTACTCCTGTAAGTTCTGGCCGTATCCATGTTTATCGAGCTCCACAATTGTAGGTTCTGGAGTTATTTGATAATTATCACGTAGCAATTGCTTAAGTCTCTTGGAATATGGGCAGTATGTCTTGGAGAATATGACCATAGGTGACATGGCTCTGATTTCTAATAATGCCTTTGCGACGTCGAAATCTTCTGTTTTCACGGACTTACCCTCTTGTGTCTTTTCTGACGAAGTATCCTGTTCTGAATCATCATTGTTAAGTTTCGATATCTCATTATTGATAGCCGCATCAACCTTGTCGTCATTCTTTGAATCGATCAAATTATTAGCAGTCAACAACGTCTGTGCTTTAGAATCATTATTTAATGTTTCGGGACGTATATCAGATTCGGAACTAGTCCTAAAGAATAATATTATGAATAATATCAGAACTGCAGAAATTGCAACTAATCTAATCTTCTTATTACTTATCATACTATATGATTATGAGGAATATGTTGATATATTTCCAATCTGTAATGTGAAAATTGATATAATTTAAAAACTATGATACGCGGTAAAATTGATTAGGGAAGCAACTTTATATGCGACCTCTACTCAACAGATGATTTTAGAGTAAAATTGGAGAGCCATTTTTTACACTTTTACAAATATATTACATACGAAATGTCAATTGCATATACAATGTTAATTATTCAAACTAAAAATGTGATCTAACATAGCTTAAATAGTCATTCATTCATTAAAAACAATAAATAACGGATCTGTCAAAAATCCAACAAATAAATAGCTTATCAAAAGTTGCTTATAATTTTTCAGCAGCAGTTGGTCTGCCGATGGTAGTAACGTCGTCGTAAATCAAAGTAGTAACGAAATCAGAATATTTTTCGGCAAGACATTCTGGCTTGAAGTAAACCAAAGCTTGACTGAACTTGTTACCTGATTTAGCGTTCTTGGATAATTTATCGGATTCTTCTTTCAATAATTTACCAACATATTCCTTGGTAATAGTCTTACCTTCGTCGGTCTTACAGCCGTGGGTAACCCATTGCCAGATTTGAGTTCTGGAGACTTCGGCAGTGGCAGCATCTTCCATCAAGTAGTTAATTGGAACACAACCGATGTTTCTTAACCAAGCTTCGATGTAAGATAAACCAATAATAATGTTAGTTCTGATACCTTGTTCAGTGATCTTAGCACCTGGAACGTACGGACTTAATAAGTCTCTAGCGGTTACTGGAGTGTATGGAACCTTTGGTGGAACGTTGATTTGGTTAGGACCTTTCATGTGTTCGTTGAAAACCTTCAACACAACAGGAACCAAAGCTGGATGAGCAACCCAACAGGAGTCACAACCAGCATTAACTTCTCTCAACTTATCCTTAGCGACATTTTCTAAGGCAGCTTGGTTTCTTTCCTTATCTTCCTTAATTGGAATTTGAGCAGCCATACCACCTAAAGCATGGACTTGTCTCTTGTGACAAGTGTTAACTAATAACTTGACGTAAGAAGACATGAATGGAGCAGACATAGTGACTTGTGATCTGTCTGGTAAGATAAATTCTGGGTGGTTCCTCAAAGACTTAATGTATGAGAAAATGTAATCCCACCTACCACAGTTCAAACCACCAATGTGTTGTCTTAATTGGTAAATGATTTCGTCCATTTGGAAAGCAGCTGGCAAGGTTTCAATCAAAACGGAACCTCTGATTGTACCTCTGGTCATACCAATGGAGTCTTGAGCGTGGTTGAAGATATCATTCCACAACTTGGCTTCTAAGTGGTGTTCCATCTTTGGCAAGTAAAAGTATGGACCAAATCCTTGAGCAACAGATTCTTTCGCGTTGTTGTAGAAGTAGATGGCAAAATCAAAGATACCACCGGAGACTGGTTCACCGTCAACGAGAACGTGCTTTTCATCCAAGTGCCATCCTCTTGGTCTGACAATCAAGGTTGGAAGGTGTCTTTTTGGGTCGGTGTTCAATGCGTACTTCTTACCGTTTTGCTCAAAAGAAATGTTCTTTCTGACACCGTCATAAAGATTAACTTGTCCGTCAATCAAGTTGTCCCATGCTGGAGTCAAAGAATCTTCAAAATCAGCCATGTAAGTAGCAACACCAGAGTTCAATGCGTTGATAACCATCTTTCTGTCCACTGGTCCTGTAATCTCGACTCTTCTGTCCTCTAAGCCTCTGGCTAATGGTGGACCGGTCCAGGTAGGATCATTTCTAATTTGCTCAGTTTCTGCCAAAAAGTCTGGTAACTCACCTCTGTCTCTCTTGGCCTGTTGTTCCTTTCTGTTAGCCAATAATTGCTTTCTGGTTGGCTGGAATGCACGGTGTAAAGTAGCAACTAATGCAAGAGCTTCAGCATTTAAAATGTGCTTGGCTCTGTCTGGAATTGATGCCAAAATTTCAACTCCCTTTAACTTATCGGATGTCTTTGGAAATGGAGACGACATGGTAACTGCTTATCGGTATACTACTTATCTGTGTCTTATAAAACTGTAATGTAACGTATTATAATATCTATGAAATGTATTATAATAACTGCTAATAGTATAAGATTTTTATAATTACCTGAGAAAAAGGGTATTATAAAAGTGGGCGATCCACATGCAATTTATACTCCCAACATTCAATTAGCCGCTACTATAGAGTACCCCAGATATTGAAATTCATCAGCAATCGATTCGTTCCAGCGGAAGTTTTCGCGAAATTACCAGAGTCGTTTTGAGTCAACCATGACTCCGACTGCGATAACTGCGCAGAAGCCCGCGTTTGCCATACTAGAAGGGTGATTGATAGTTAGGCGAGACAAAGTCCGGGTGTTCGGGTCAATGGAAGCAACCAGATTGTGAGCAATTGCCGAGGGTATACGCAAGTATCCGCTGGACGAGGATGGACGAGAGTTGGACAGTTGGATGGCAGTAGGCAGAGATAGAAGGGTATTGGTTGAAGGTGGGAGGCAGATGAAAGACGGGTAGGCGTAAAGAAGAGATATGGACAGGGAGACGAACGGGAAGACGAATTTGGACAAGATAGAGGTGACAGATTAAACGTGGATAAGGTCACAAAAGTTTTCGGAGCCGAGTCGGCTCCGTCGATAAGGCAAGTACTCCTATGATGGTCGGCATTTAGCATATTAGAAGTGGATTACGTAGGTATTACGTAGTTATGTAGGTACGTAATCAATAAAGAAATGGGATTGATACGAACGTTGCAATTTTGTTAATGGATTGGTTGCTCGGATCGGTAATAAGTGGTTAGGGGCATATATTAGATTTTGCAACATATATAATATTGTACGCTATACAGCTAGAGTTTACCAACTGTATAACTTTTTCTAAGGGTTCTAAATGAATAATTGACCGCAAAAACGACTCATCTATTTAGCCCACTTGTTACCGTTGGCTAATGGGCCAGATAATCCCTTTTGGGCTGGAATGTAGTTGACTCTGTGGTACGAGTTCAAGTTCTTTCTCAATACAATCTGGTAGCAGGTAGCAGAACCTTGTCTGGAGACAATGGTGGAGGTGGCTAAGAAGAATTCCCAGATTCTGTACCATCTGATACCGTACTTGTTAACAACCTTTTCCTTGTTTCCAATCCAGTTACGGTACCATCTCCACAAGGTACCAGAGTAGTGGACACCGATGTTGTCCAACGAGACGACTTCGAAACCAACCGTTTCCAAAGCTGAAACAACAAAAGTCAATGGAGTCAGCGCATCGGCACCAGGGAAAATGTACTTGTTCATGAATAATCCCCAGTTTAAATCTTCGTATTGCCAGGACTTACGTAAACCGGCATATTGTAAGAAGAATAACCCGTCGTCTTCTAAAGATTCATGCACTTGTTCCAAGAAAGAAGAAAATCTTCTAATACCAACGTGTTCAGCCATTTCAAGACAAGTAATCTTATCGTACTTACCGTTAGGCTTTTGCGACTTAGGAGAGTCACGGTAGTCGACACAGGCAATTCTAGATTGAGAGTCGTTGACTCCGTAGTTCGATAATAATTCAGTACCCCATTTGGTTTGGTTCTTACCTAAGGTGACACCAGTAACATTGGCACCGTACTTGTAAGATGCAAAGGCGGTCCATGTACCCCATCCACAACCAAGATCTAAGATGTGGTCTCCTTCCTTAACTTGCATCTTATCACCAACAATATGCAACTTGTTGTCTTGCATTTCTTCTAATGTTTCTTCACGTTCAATATCACCAATAATTCCCGAAGTATAGATCATTCTTGGGCCCAAGAACCAGGTGTAGAAGTCGTCACCCCTGTCGTAGTGATCTCTGACTTGCTCTTCGTCTTGCGACTTCGAGTGCATAATCACTTCCGGAATCATACCAAGTAAGAAAAATCTAAACAACGACAAAGTGAAACGGAATGAAGCCCAGTCATGCTTGTATTCTAATACATCCAAACAGTCTCCCTTAAAGCTAACCTTTCCGTTGAAGTACAATTCTTGGAAAGTCTCAATTGGAATTTTGGTACCCTTACCACCGTTGGAATCGATGTATTTGGCCTTCAATTCTTCGGTATGGTACTCCAAGTAGTCGGAAATTGGTCTGTTAGGATATTTGACCTTTTCGTTGAGTCTTGGTGAATAACTCGACATGATAGTCCAGTAGGCCATCATGATTGGCAAACATGAAATCAAGGTGAAAAATAACCACGTCTTGAATCCACCACCTAATTTTCTAGCCACAAAGTATGGAATCAACACAATAAGTCCTACCATGGCATAATTGTTGAATTGCTTGGATCCTGGTCCGTCGGCTGGTAATGGAGCATTATGGATCGCTGGCGAGTCGGTAGTCATAATACCACATTCATCCGATGCTGGAGGAATTGGTCCCTGCTCAGGGGTCTTAATAAAGTCAAATGAATCTAACATTTTATTTAGCAACCGATTCAATTGAATTCCTGGATTTTATACACTTTTAGGAAGAGAACGTATTTTTTTTTAGTGAAATTTCGCCTGATTTTACTTTATAGTGTCGAATTCTTTATTATACGTGGCACGATCATTTGTCGCAATCGCGTACTAACAGATTCTCTTCATGCATTGTTTAGATAACGATCAAGGCTGAGACCGTCCATCGATATTAGAGATTACTTGTATTCATATGTGGCCAGTGTCTGCCATATGCAATGAGACTAACAGTCTTTACTAGGTTGATCTGGGTCAATTGTAGTCGATTGTGAAATTCTCTTACACCACGCGACGTCTACGGACGTGTGGAGAATCAGGTCCCCTTGGACGGTGCGCTATGTGATGCATGCCATTTCAAAAGCTGATAGGAACATTTTAGGATTATTGAAATCACTGGCGTCACAGCATACGCTAGTAAGTTTTGCGGCCGTTCGTACCCCTATCACCATTTTTGCAACTAGTTAGGCGTTGATTACGTAAGTCGTCCATGCCACAAGAAGCCCCAGGCACGTACAGGCCAGTGGTTGGCATGTAGAACAAAAGGTGTAAGTACAGTAATGGCACTTTTGAGGTGCCATGGAGTATGGAGGACTCGTACTCGAGAAAGATTTCTTAGTAATTAATGGAATTGCCAGTTTATTGTTCATTTTGCAGTAAGCTGCGAAAAATACAGAAATCACTGAAAATGCCGTACAACAAAAGCACCATTTGGTATACAATACCATAGGCAAAAAAGTAACAGAACCAGAGAAACAATATCATCAACCGGAATAGAAGACAGAAGCAAATTTTTGGTAGACTGCAAAAGCCTATTACCAACATACAGAGAGGTGCAGGAAACACCCAGCTCAGTTTCTTCCGAACTAGACCCGAAGGAAAGTTTACATAACATCGATACCGGTATTTTTCACTTTGTATATCCCGGCTGCTGCTTGGATTTCGGTTAATGTCACGTGGTGGAATAATTCATCTCTGCTCCAGCGCGTTGAGTGGCCGATGCGACGATGATGTGGGACAACATCTGTTTCATATCATCGTAAATAGGTAAAGTATCGTTGTATATATATTCGTCTTGAGGTCCAGCATACACCTAAAGTTAAGGTAGATTGTGGATACTGTTTTCTTTTTTGTTCTCGATATATTCCACAAGCAGATATTATAATTTCGAACAAAGATAGTCGCTATTTCATATGTCCACCATTCCGAATAATAGAGATGATATTGTATTAATCGACTCGGAACCCGAACGTGAGAATGATGCACCAAGAAGCTCAGAAGAAGACGCTCCACCTAGGAAAAAATTCAAAAATTATGAAGATGCTCGCGGTCCGTTGGTTAAGCCGTTTATGCATAGTACCTCGGACAGCGACAATAAAGGGAGTGGTGCTGAAAGTCTGAGTGGTGACAAAAGCGCGGAGAGCAGTGATAGCCTGGGCAGTAGTAATAGTTCGGGGAGTGAAAGTAATCTGGGTAGTCTGAGTGATGTACATTCTGGAAGCGAGTATACCCACTCACTTTCGGCCGACTCGAGGCTATCTTCGAAAAAACCAGAAACTGAAATTGAGGGATCACGAGTAATATCGAGTGATCTGGAGGATACTTCTACAGGAACAAGTTCGAGTGATTTGAATCATATACCCACTCACGTTCCTCCGGCCAGAGAGAATGAAGAAATAGAGGCTACCAGAGAAGTGATTTCTGATACTAGAAAGTACCTTAAACAACACGGAACTATGGAATTTCTTGATAAATACTTACCTACTACCGCATCTAGCCTGGACTTGTTACAGTTAATAAAGAAATTAGGGTTTTTCCCGAAGGACATCCCTCCATTCAATGATGGAGACAGGCTAATTGGACTTATTAAGCTACTACATACTGCCATGAAGAAAGTAAATTCTATGAGATCCAAATTAGATGACTTTTATTGCGTAGAACATGTGGTTGATCAAATAAAAAAGGCCAAAAAGATATTAGTGGTTACCGGGGCTGGTATTTCAACCAGCCTAGGTATTCCTGATTTTAGATCTTCGAAAGGGTTTTACTCTCAGCTACAGCATTTAGGGTTATCGGATCCTCAAGAAGTTTTCGATTTGGATTTCTTTCACAGTGACCCGAATATCTTTTACCTGATTGCGTATATGATTTTACCACCAGAAAAGTCTTACACACCGTTGCATGCATTCATCAAGCTTTTGCAAAATAAAGGAAAATTACTCCGAAATTATACTCAAAACATCGATAACTTAGAAAGCAATGTGGGTATCAAGCCAGAAAAGTTAATTCAATGCCATGGGTCATTTGCTACAGCATCTTGTGTAACTTGTAAGTATCAGGTTAAAGGTGAGAAGATCTTTCCAAAAATCAGGGAAAAAGAAATACCGTATTGTCCAAAATGTATGAAAGCCAGAAAAATATTGGTCAACAAAGAGGACGCATATGTCCCTGAAAGTTACGGAGTCATGAAGCCTGATATTACATTTTTTGGCGAACCATTACCGACGAGATTCCATAACATGATAAGACAAGATTTGATGGAATGTGATTTATTAATTAGCATAGGAACCTCTTTGAAGGTCTCACCAGTGGCTGATATTGTTGAAAGAATTCCCGAACATGTTCCTCAAGTATTGATCAATAAAGATCCTATTGATCATTGTAATTTTGACGTCAGTATTCTAGGCTATTGTGATGATACTGCTAATTATTTGTGTAAACGTTTGGGCAAGGGTTGGGAACTCGATCACCCAGAAGGTGTAAAGGCTTATGATAAAGAGCTATTCCAAATCGTAACACTTAATGAAAATGAAGGGCAATATTCGCTTGTCAATTTTAGACCAGAGTTATACGAGGCCCTTGAGGAACAACGTCAGGCGAAAATGAAAGAGGGAAGTCAGTAGAACTGGTTTCTATGGGGTCGGTATTGTATAGTATTTAAATAAATTATTCTAAAAAGCGTGCATACAAGTCTCTTCATGTAGAAAAAATTAGCTTCTGGATATAAATTTTGGTCTTTAATAGGCATGTTAGATTTGAATAGTCGGACTAATTATGTTTAGATTGAGCTATATACGTCGGGGAATAAGGTCGGTACAGCCAAGGATATTTTATCACGGTAATTCGTATATAATACTGTCTGTGAGGTTGTATAATTCTGTTGGTAAAGGGAATCAACAATTTCAGAATGCACAAGGGAACTCCCAACAAGAGAGAGATCCTTTAAATATAGATGAATTATTTCCAGATAGTCATGGAAAATCATCTGAAACAGATAATATAGAGAGAAATAAGGAGAAGGGCAACGAACAAGTGGAGTTATCTGCATCTCAAAATCAGCCATTGGAAGAAAATCATGAATCCAAATCTTTCGAAAGAGACAGCCTCTTATCTGACATAGATACCTACGTTGAAGACAGTAAGGACAGTCGTAATAAATCTATAGATATTTCTACTGAAGGGGAATCGGAATTTGATATTTTGAACGATTTTCTTAATGACCACGACAAAAAGCAAAATGATATAGTAGATACTAAGAAGGACAAAGATGATTTCAATGATCTTTTATCGTCTCTTAATTTGGATGATGGTAATACCAACGGCGATGAAGGGTCATTTGATTTTGATAAGCTAAGCGAAATGACACGAGATCATCTTTCGAGTAAAAATAACAAAACTCAAGCAGAAGAATTCAATCCTATTGACGTCGATAAGAATGATGAAAATATCTTTGATTTAAGTTTCTTGGATATGGATAAAACCAATGATAATGAAAAGAAAGTTATTGAAGAAGAAAAGCAACTTTTTCAGAACATTTTTAATTCGTACGTAAAGCCAACAGATCAAGATGAACAGTCAGAGTTATTACAGAATTTGAGAGATTCGGTAAATATTTCCAAGAACCAAATTGACGATATATTGAGCTCCTCTACCAGTACGCGATACAAGTTGACTAATGTTTCTGGAAGGTTGAAAGATGAACTATTTACCAAAACTAAGGATGCATTGGAACCAACAATAAAATATATACATACTTCTCCAGCCTTAGGCTCATCAACTTTGCTAACTCAATACTTGAGAACAGTATTTACCAGTTGGTTTGAAATAATTAAAAAAGCACAAAATGACAAAGCTGTTTTTGAAGACGTATATTTAAACAAGTTATTAAAGAAGTCAACGAAATTCAGTGAAAAGCATGATAAATTTGTTAACTCTGTTTACGTCCAATCAATGGAACATCCGTCCAACCCTATCTTGAATGTTTTCACATTACCAATTATTTTCAACTCAATTCTTAATACAATAGCCATGAAACACCACGATGGTCAACTTGCACTTTCGTTGTTCAATTTTTTGAAAAAGGATATTAATTTATATACGGTATGTTGTAATCAACAAACATACAATGAAATATTGAGAATCCAGTGGTTGTTTTACGGTAAATCAAATTTGTATGGTATTGAAATTATCTTTATTGAAATGTTAAACAACGGGTTTTCAGGTGATTTAATGACATTTAATATACTCAAACAAATAATTATAGACTATCATAGTTTAAAAATGGGGCAAGCTTCTTTGAATGAAGCTAAACTTCCAATTTGGTCTAAAGAAGATGATAAACGAGTAGAAAACTTAGAAAGGAAGTTAAATACCTTGGCTAATGTCTTGAGAAGATCCGATAAATAACATTTTGCTTAGTGTAAATATTTCTTGTATATATAGATCTACAATGACAATTTGGTTCCAATTTCCTGTTTACGAAATAATGCGAGCGTAATCAAACTATTAATTAAATATGTTAAACAAAACTCAAGGATAAACAAAAAGCATTTTTTTTCCTTATATATACACTTTTAAATAACAGACATACCGACAGATAGTTATTATAATTTGCAAATGTCAGATTTTAAAGGGTTTAAAGATTCATTTTTGAAGTCTAATTCACAGTCAGGTACTAATTCCGCTGTGTCTGGGTCAGGCTCTGAATCTATTTCTCCACCACAAGATTCAAAAGACAAAGGATTGAACATTCCAAGTATACACGTAAAGACAGAATCAGCAGATAAATTGGCATCAAAGTCATTAGATATCAAGAAGCAGTTGTCACAATCATTTCAGGGAAATAGTTCGACTCAACAGCATGGGGGAATTTCGAAACCTCAATCCAGAAAAAACTCAATAATTGCAATTAAATCTAATAATGCAAGTGAAGACGAAGGTGACGATGACAAAGATGATCCACAAGTGAATGAAAGGAAGAGGAGAGATAATATTAACGAAAAAATACAGGAGTTATTAACACTAATTCCAGCAGAATTTTTTCAAGAGAACCCCCCACCAACTAATCAACCACAACAACAACAGACACAACAATCAGAAAACGATGCGGCAATTGCTGCAGCTGTCAAGAATTCTGGTACTAAAGACGGCAAGCCAAATAAAGGTCAAATATTAACAAAATCCGTGGAATACTTGCAATATTTGCAGAATTTAATTGACGAAAATAATAGAAAAGAAGTTGAATTAGTTATGAAGTTGAAGAATTTGGAATTACAGGAACAGAATAGACAGCAAAATGTCCCTATTAATGTTGGCCACACAAGCGCTGAAAGATCGTTAGGTAAGATTGGAGTTGGTCCATTATCCGATGATTATTTTAAGCTGGTTTTGGTTAATAGTGCTGGAACAAATAAATCAGGTCAAAGAAAGGGAAGCACATTTTCAGTTAGTCCTTAAACATTAATGAGAGTTTATTAATATATAGTCAGTTCTAAATTATTTTATGTACGGTTAGATATTCTGCCCGACCTTTCTCTTTCATCTGCATTCTTTCTCAACATATAAGCTGGTGAATATGCGACCTCGTCACCCTCTATTTCCAAGTAGGGGTTGGGAGTTGTAGTATTGATACCACCTAGACTGGTATAACCTAAGTCATACATTTCACAATAGTCCAAATCGCATCCTATTAAGAAATCCCAGATATCCTCATATTTCCAATGCAAAATAGGATGAATTCTTAAAAACTCCGGCCAGTCATGATCAGTTACTTGTTCGTAATCTAAACTTGAACCATAAGGGTCCGAGTAACGAATTCCAACAAATATTGATTTGACTTTTGGGTTAATTTCATTTAAATATTTTTCGAACCCCTCCTTTAATGAACTTTGTATTATAATAGGATTTAAATGATAGTATGCAGTTGAACTCTTTATGAAATCTGAAAGATTCGGAAAGGGTAATTCAGAGTTGATATAGATGGAATCAAGCTTATAGTCTGTTGGCAAAACTTTCAACGATGAATCTTTCGTTGGTGTGAGGGTAAACTTCTTATGGATAGATGTCATTAATAATATAAGCATAACTAAACAATCCTTTCCTCCATTATACGAAATTGCAATTTCTTCAAGCCTAAATTTAGTTAGTAGTTGTCATCCAGTTTAAAGTGCCATGTAACGCTTCCGGAAATACAAAATTACATACCCGTGAATTTCAATCGCCTTATCAAACACCTTCAAGCTCTTGTGTATCTTTTCCTTGACCTTTTGTCTTCTAAACTTGTCATATATGTAATCTTTTCGCCTTTCGGGTACTAATCCCAGTGGTAAAGTATCGTTCAAAAAATCGTTAACCAAATTTGAAGCCTCCTCACACTTCACAAGAAAGTTGTGCTGGTGCCCCCGGTTTCCGTTCTCCATGGCTGAATGCTTCTTGTCTATACTCATTTGCTTCTATCTGGTTGTACTTAAAAGGTTCTCTTCGTATTCAGATCAGTCGACATTTCTGTCTCTGGGGTTTCTCCGACATCTATTATATGCAGTACGTCGATTATAAAATGCTTCTTTTTGTTTATTAATGAAAGAGTTACTACTTATACGAAAACTGTAAGAAGAAGTCCTTCGTGTCTTCATCCCAGTACCACCAGAAGGTGTCAGACATTTGGCCCAAAACTGCGGGTTTATCGATCTCTTTATTGTTGGGGATCGCAAAACAAATGTTCTCGTATGGCTCCGCAGTGATAACAAGATACTGCCAGTTGTTAGGATCAGCATCTTCCTTATCCTGAGCTTCCTTGTGAACGTATGACAAGGCCACATTCTGATTTTTGGTCGACAATTCGTAGTATGACATAATTCGGAAAAATGGCTCTTCTGCTGTTGCGTTGGGGTATTTCGCATTGATGAGCAACCCCATTTGCAACGTTTCCGTATTTCTGATCTTGGTGACCTTAAATGCTGGTCTTCCGATCTTCGTCCAACTCCGCTTGGGCGTATTATTTATGGATATTACCGATGCATTATTTGTACTATTGATGCCCTGTTGGTTTTTGGAGTATTTTTCATCTAGGATTTGTCTTTTTTCAAGGTTCATTTGGTGCTTTCTTCCTCCAATATGCGAAATATATGACGATTCACTGACATGTGTGGTGAGACACAATCTACATTCTAGTAATCCTAGATGATTTCTGAAGACATATGGGTCACTATCAAGATCCAATACTTGTGTAGTAAGCAATTCTTTTAAGCGTCGCCTGGTGTGAACTTTTGTCTCCTGTACATCTGCTACTCCACCAGACCCCTTCTTGGAGTTTACACGGTTTGAATAATCCATAATGGTGCAATTTGGCCAGTCTCTTAATTATCCATATATGTATGTCCTAAAGCAAGATGAGCAGTGTATTGATGTATTTGCAGATTAGACAAAGCTCGCGCAAATTGCAGATTAGACACGTCCTTCCTCAATTCCTAAATGGGAAGATATTGAACAATTTAGTTCCAACCCAATAGTAGGGACTAATTCATAGCTTTAGATTACGCTGAGTGAAATACTTGAAACATAATGGATTCTCCGCTAAATGTGGGTGACACCACCACCAATTCAATCCAGCATCTATTGAGCGATACCCATCTTAATACTTCGTGTTCTACTACAGTGAATTCGGCCGTTTACTCGGATGAAAAGGTTATACAATTGAACTTGATTATTCAAACAAACGAAAAAGAAGACGGTAAGACGAAAGAGGACGACCCAATAGTGATATTGAGACGTGTCCAGGACTCGTACATTAATATTTCCCAACTTTTTTCAATTCTTTTGAGGATCGGGCACTTGAGCGAAGCGCAATTGACGAACTTCTTGAATAACGAAATTCTTACCAACACGCAGTATTTGTCTAGCGGGGGGTCGAATCCTCAGTTCAATGACTTGCGGAACCACGAAATTCGGGACTTACGAGGTTTGTGGATTCCATATGATAGGGCCGTGTCATTGGCTTTGAAATTCGATATTTATGAATTGGCTAAAAGCTTATTTTTGATCGATGTACATGACTACGATGATTTACCTAAAGCGGCCACTACAAACAAGAGGTCATTGTATGAGGGATCTGCTGATGGTGAAAGGGATGCTGGCTTAACAGGCTCTCCCAGTAAGAAACAAAAGATACAGGCCGATAAAATGAATGGAGATCAGGCGGATATCCAGAGTATTCTCAAAACGACTATTCAAGGGAATAAAAGCTTTCCTCGTACTTTGCCGCCTTTGTCGTCTGATGAAGAAAATTCTGAGTTGGAGTCGGATATTAAACTGAAATTCGGTGAGATTTTCAAAAAGGACAATACGTCCGAATTATCGTATACTGATATCAAATCGACCTTCCAGAATATATTACAAAATAAGAAAGAAAATTTGCGTTTATTAACGGACATTTCGTTGGACCAACTGGGTAAAACTGCATTACATTTCGCGTCTACTTTAGCATCACTGGATTTAGTTTCAGCTTTCATAAAATTGGGATTATGCTCGCCAATTAGGGGTACCACATCAGGAAAATCCCCATTGATTTCAGCCATCTTAGTTACCAACTCAATGGAAAGAGGTAATTTCACAGAATTGTTGAGTGCTTTATGGCCAAATTTATGGCTATATGATAATAAAAATTGGTCGTTTCTACACTATTTAGCATTTCAAGCAAGCAAGAACTTGGAATCGAGTAGATTTTATTTGAGCAAGATTTTAGAATGGATCATTGCCGATTCTGGGAAGAAACAAGATTCTTTAACTACTCTATCAAGAGAATTAATAAATTTGCAGGATGAGGAGAGCGGGAACACCTGTTTACATTTGGCAGCCGAAAGTGAATCAAGATGGTTCGTTAATATATTTCTTGAATTAAATGCCGATGTAAATCTTGTTAATAAGACAGGTGTAAAGCCTGCAGATTTCGATATCGTTAAGGATATTTTAACTGAAAGAAAGAATGGTGCAGAATTAAATAATGGCACCGAGCATGATAACTATATACTAGAACTCGTTCGTACAAGTATGGAATTTCATAATAAAAAGCTAGAATTGGGAGTAAACCCAGAGTCTGAAGACGAAGATAATATGATCAAGGAAGATGGTAGCAAACCAAAAAAATTGACTACGGGTAGTTCTTCATCGAACAAGATTTTCCAAAGTATACAAGATTTATTATCAAATACAAATCACGAATACGACAATATAATTAAGACCAAACGGTTACAGATCAACAATTTGAATCAATCGTTGCACGATGCAACCATCGTGACGGCAAACAATAGGTTTGTAACCAATAAAATATCAGAGAAACTAGCATATCTAGACAACTTGAAATTGCAGATGGCTAATATTTCTGATAAATTACAGTTGGCCCAAAAGGAAATTCCAGCCGACTTGAAAGTTGAAAATGAAAACGAAAATACCAAATTTGATTCTGATGAACCATTTATCATTAAACCAATATACGAAAAGTTGATACAAGGTGAAACTGCTGACAGCATCAAGCCTACAGATGAAGTATTGAGTCAATTACCACCTTTGCCTATACTAAAAGCTAGAATTAAAGCATATCAAGAAATCAATAGTAAGATAGAAAGCGAATTAACTAATTTACTAGACTACAGTGAGTTGACCTCTAAGTTCAAGAAAGTAGTTAGTTTCTGTACTGGAGTCGATATTAATGAGGTTGATGAATTATTGGACGGTTTGTTAGAAGCTGTTGAGGGTCAACAGTAGATAATGACATTTTTATAGTTCTTGTGTTTTATTTATTGATTGTAATATTATACATGTATAAGTCTTAGCGAATTTTATTATTAGATTGTAGATGATGATAGTATACATAAGGCTAGACAATAGCGCTTTCAAACACTATACCAAACCCTCGTAGGAATTCAATGCATTCACAATGGTAGCGTCAAACTTCAGCAATTTCTTAAAGTCATCCTTATTTATTGTATCTCTATCTCTATCCTTATTCAAATAGCGGAAAAGCTTATCTGTTCTTTGCTCTGGCGTCCTTTCATCCTCTGGCAATGCCACCATAGCACCGATCATCTTGTATGTTGCCCGTATTATCGTTAGCACGTCATTATAAGATAGCTGTTCACACCTCCGAAAATCGTAAAGCTTGAAACTCCAATTCAACTTCTGTTCTAGTGACCCTCGACTAGTAATCGACAATGCAATGATAAATTCCTTGAAGTCGATATACTTTGAATTATCAACATCAAAAACCCGAAATAAATAATGACAATAATCACTTGGATCCCCAAAAGGAAAAAACTGTTTAAATACCTTCGAAAACTCTTCTTCTGATAGCTGTCCCAGCGGACAATCCCTTAAAAACCCCTTATACCACTGTTGTAACTCTCTTTTATCAAAATAGGTTGCTTGTCTAAGTGATTGTAAATCATCCTTCGACAATTTTGATACAGATTTACCCATTTTTTATTAACAATTTCGGTCCAGCTTGGTTCTAAATTATCAAAACACAAATAAAATCGCTTCTTTATGACTGTTAGCAAGCTTTACCGACCTATATTCACAAATTAGTCCCTTTAGTACCATTTTCTCTATATATACTAACACCTAATCAGAAATACATACTGAGAGACAATTACACAAAACGGAGGCCTAAGGAATTGAATTTCACACGACAACTAAAATATTTTGTATTATTAATTTAGTATGACTGGCCCTATATAGCCAAGGAAGCAGCATACCAGAAGTAAAAATGTTTAAGAATATACAGAAAAGAAGTGTCAGTTCTAGTGGTAGAGTGTTTTTGAACTATGGGAAGCCACAAAATCCTGTTTATAATGCTGAGTTGACCATGAAAATCGAGCCGATCCAAAGAACCGGGGAAAGTATCGATGTCAAAAGGGCCAGATTAGTATACCAGTCTCGTAAGAGGGGGATCTTGGAAAGTGACTTGTTGTTATCCCGTTTTGCTAAGAGGTACTTAACAGGATTCTCTCAGGAAGAATTGGACGAATATGACAAGTTGTTGGATGAACCCGATTGGGACATCTACTACTGGGCCACCAAAAACTACGATGTGACGCCATTACCAGACAAATGGAAAGATTCCAAGATCTTGAAGTTATTGCAAGAAGATGCTGAGAATAAGGAAAAGGAGATTTTGAGAATGCCTGAGTTATAAGCTGTATATACTATTAAATAGATTGACGGGTTTCTGAGGGTCTATTGATTCCCCGGGGCTTGAATATCGTTATTTTCACGTTAAGTTCATTATTTACTGCTTCTGAATAGTAGGTTTTTGTAGTATTTGCTTCCTTTATGCCCCAGATTTTGGTGCCAGGGTAGCCATCTGGTCATAACCTGTAAATATACCCCGGGATGTTTACAGCTTAGGTTCTGGTACATCAAATACAGTTGATAGAAGCTCCTGAGAGATAAGTGGCCAACCCTTTATTTATTGGCGCTATTAAGATGAGTAACGTAAATTTGGAATCAATTCCACAGGAATTGAAGAATGACAAGTCAGTGGTACCATATGTTTCGAGGGCAGTTGAATTAGAGTCAATAAATCCTATAGTGAGCTTTTATTGTAAGATTTATGTGCTAGAGCACATTCTCGCTAATAAGCTCCATGCCAAGGATAAGGAGGTCGAGAAGTTTACAATTATGTTATTAGATGATACAGAACAACTCAAGGCTACTGAAAATGAATCTTTGCATAAGGTTTTAAACGATAAGACCCTTTCACTCAGTGCAGTGATGTCTTTTGCCTACCAGATATTCAACCAATGTCTACAAGACTTGCAACGATACGATGGAACCACGAAGCTGCAATTGGTAAGCAAATTCAAGGCAGGTTTAAATTTCATGAATTTACTTAGCATTTTCACCAATTCAGCGGACGTAATTGACTATTCAAAGTTGACCGGAGGTAAGGCCGTCGATTCTGGCAGCTTTGCGGAGTTGAATAAGAGCAAAATCAAATTATTGAAGTTCCAATTATCCAAGATATTGAAGGACGAAGTGGCGGTCCAAGACGATGACTTGGAGGCCGAATTAGACCGTGAGTTAGAAAATATGAACGATAACGGGAAGGATGTTGTTGGAAACACAGAGGACGATGCATCAGTAGACAAAGATTTGGGTTTGCCAGGGGCACCCAAATTTATCAATGAAGATACAAAAGATAACGAATTGGGTTTACCAGAAACCCCTAAATTTGTTGACGACAATAATAATGAAGATGAATTGAATGGGAAAAACAAAACCGAGGATAAGGATACAAGCAACGACGCGAACGAAGATGAAGATATCAGTCTACCCAAAGCCCCTCATTTTCCTCCTAACGATGAAGATGAAGACGAAGATATCAAATTACCAGGAGCACCTAAATTTTTACCCGATAACGATATATCGCATATCAACAAGTCATCATCTATTCAAGTATTTCCACCTGGAAAGCCGGAAGACGACAATAAATCAAAACATGCCTCTTCCAACGATCGTTCACATAGTTCGTCTAGTATTCCTCTTTCCAAGGCCACAGCCAAGGATGCAGCCAAGCCGCAAAAACCCACTTCTCCCCAGCACGAGCATCTTACCAAGGAAAACGTATCTTCGATAGTTAGCAAGGCCGACCAGATAACAAAGATCCAAAAGCACGCCAAGTTTGCCATTTCAGCCTTGAACTACGAAGACCTCGACACCGCCGAACGCGAATTGCTCCAGGGGCTTGAACTTCTCAGGGCTGTTAAAGACTAGCTCTTACACCCACCCCACCCATATACACCAAATATCTAAATTCGCCGTGTCCCGGCACCTTTGTACTTAATATACGCCAATGGTTATCGTAAATTTTCACCATGCATTTTCGATCGATTCCACCTTTCCAATATCGATTCCCCCACCTTATTACTACGTCTGCTCCCCCTTATTACACGTCCACTCCTCCCCACCCCTATCCTACTACCTTCTCCTATACGGCACATAAATTGCAACTGCTCAAAATCGTAACTACTCGTAAACCGTCTTTCTATAGGACTCTATACACAACTTCCGTTCTACTGTTTATATCTCTCCTAATCTACATTTACGGCTACGATTATTCTCCTCACATTTATTTTATGCACACATGACATTCTCTTCGGTAATCTCAATGGATTTCACTCATCAAAATGCGCTATATGCCCGATCCTTTTGTTGATTTAGCATTGGCGATGTTTTGAACTTACCGTATTTAGGGTATTTGAATACAACGCGAGATATATAAATGTCGTGGGTCCAATGTCGCGATAAATGTGTAAATGTCGCTCACAACAAAGCCCCATTAAATTAGAAACGCTTCAGACGAGTCGCTTTTAGCAGAAGTGGCGATGAACGATATTTTGATCTGTAGTCGTTTTTTTTGTTAAAATATATTTATAACAACATATATAGTATACTTTGATAGTGGTCTATCGAGACATTCATTCATTTTACCAACTTAGTCCGATAAACGACCAAAAAAATCTAGCATGGATAGCGTCAAAAAAAGATTCAGTCACATTCAGCCGCTGAAGTCCAATCGAGAAGAAACGAGTCCGCGGAACTCAGGAGAGACGACAGAAGAAGTTTATAATGGGTTATCGCCTGAGTTGGTGCCAATTGTGACGTTGTTGTCTTCGCAGGCTCATCGGAGATACTACGAGGGTATTATTATGCTTTATTATGATTTGAATGGTGATGGAAAGCCAGCAGATAGGGAATGGAGGGAAGTTTATGGTATTTTTACGGGGAACCAATTGGCGTATTGGGACGCGGCACATTTGGCGGCGTTCAGGAATAGTCCTGAAGCATTGTTGGAAACTTCGTCGAAGCCTAATTACATTAACTTTACTGATTCGGTTTACAACGCGATGAAGTCATTGCCGGCGGCTAAAAAAAACTTGGACAACGTTATCATTGTATCGACCACGTTGAAAAATAGATACATTATGCAGTTTAAGACGTATCTGGATTTGCAGCATTGGTACTTGGCCTTGAGGTTGGCCAGTTACGAATACCAGTCGTTACAAGAGGCCTACACCGGAGCATTGTTGTCAGCAAGAGGTTCAAGGTTGTCGGACATCCGTACTATTTTAGCAGAGAAAAGGTTTGACCACGAAGACTGGGTGAGTATCAGATACGGATCGGGTATGGCGTGGAAGAGGTGTTATGCCGTCATTGAACCATCGATATTGAAAAAGAAGAGTTTCAAGCCTGGGAGAATTTTGTTTTATGAATCTGAACAAAAAAAGAAAAAACAATTGATGGCAGTGGTGGTGGGTGCTAGTAGCGTTACTGCAACTTACCCCCAATCTCATTTGTTGATTGACCATAGTACCATGTTGAAAGTCGAAGCATCGATCAATTTTAAGTCACCTTCTTTATCTAATAAGATTTCGAAGCAAGCAAAGGAAGATTTCAAGAACACTTCAATATTTTTGATGCCTGAGCAACATTCATCTGTTCCAGGTTTCGATACGTTGATTAGATTCATGGTGCCATTGTTAGACTCGTTTGGGTTATATGGTAGACCCAAAAGATTAAAGGCTGATAGAATTGATCCAGATTCTTTGTTATTCGGCTTGCCAACTTTGCCTCATGTCCATTATCTTGAATTGCGTGATTTACTTCCATTGGCTTCTAGGGGTGATTTCTTGTCGTGGGATGTGAAACAATGGTCTTCTAGCTTAAAGGATATCATGAGAGGAAAGTTAAGTCAAGGTTATGAAGGATGTGGTAGCTCTAGAGGAGTTGTGGGTGCAATAAATTCATTGAACAGCCCTACTCTGTCTGATCACAAAATTCCAACTCCTCCACCTAAGGATTCTCGAACACAAGTCCCTCCACAGCAGAAATATCAAGAACCTCCGGCCCCACCTCAACCTCAACCTCAACCCCAACATCGTAAGGCTCCAAATCAAAGTCAACAGCCTGATCCTTACCAAACTCGTGTTGCGCCAAATGCTAGGAATGTTAACAACTTGACAATTGATCCCAATGCTGATAAGCAAGCACTTTCGGTATCAACTGATACGGAGGGTTCTCGTCATCAAAATCCTGATGGACATCGTTCGACTCAGTTAGCAGAAATATATCAGAAATATGCTACGATTAAAAGTCCTTCTGATCAATTTCATAATGACAGGAATCAATTATTGAATGGATCGGCTGAAGACTTCGATGAAGGCGAAATGCCAGATGTCATACGGAAGCTTACTTTGAATGATGCTGATGCAATGTATCCGGCAAATGACGATAATTTATTCAGTGATGAAAATGATGATGAAGCTGAAGATAGTGAAGATGAATCCACGCCGAAACAAGTAGGTGCAATCCCTCAAATTAATTTGAACGGCAGCTTGGCATTACCTCAATATCAGGATAGAAACAGCAGCTACTCTTCTGTTAAATCTCCAATGACTCAATACAATGAGTTTAATGAACAATTCAAGCTGAATGTTGTTGATAGAAATACCGATTCTAGGCATTTTGCATATCCAGATTCAGACAATAATTCTAGTTCGGATTCTGATAATCCTGTTCCTCCCTCTCATGAACTGAAGCCTAGTACTAATTTAACAAAATCCAAACTTTCTTACAATTTACCTCAAAGTATTAATACTGTTCCTCATGGTGCTACAACGTCACGAGCAACAAAAGGTGATCGTTTATCTATACACTCAGAAGCAGGGAATGTTACTAGTGGTAACTCTTCACCTTACTCAAATGAATCGGGAGAAGGCAAGAAAAATTATGCTCTGGCTCAACATCAACCATATTCCGAGCCTCAACCGACTTCTCAATACCCTAATCAACCTAGACATGACTATTCACGTAATCAACCTCAAAATCCACAAGTACAAAATCAGTACTCATCCCAGCTGGCGCTAGCCCCTGGTCCACAATCGCAGACATTAGCTCCAAGCAAGGGTTATAAACAGCCCCCTCTTCCAGCTCCAGTGCAAGCTCAGCTTAACCCTCAAGTCCATAAAGGAAGACACGCGTATGGCTCTCAAGGACAAGTGAATAAGATGCCACAAGCTCCTCCCCAGCAACATGCATACCCACAATCATTACAATTTGGATATCAACCTCAACCTCAGTGTCAGCCTCAACCTCAACCTCAACCTCAACCTCAACCTCAACCTCAACCTCAACCTCAACCTCAACCTCAACCTAAACCTCAACCTCAACCTCAACCTCAACCTAAACCTCAACCTCAACCTCAACCTCAACCTAAACCTCAACCTCAACCTCATCACACCAGTGGTAAACCGAGAATGATGCCGCCATCGAATCAGTATCGTGGAGGCCATTCGGGACAAGCGCCTATGCCGCAACAACAGGGGTATCCACTTCAGCAACGTCATGATGGGATTCCACCATCAGTGAGTTTTAATAATTCATCTCATCAGCAAAAACCTGGTCCATCGTATGGCCAACCTTACGGCAATCGTATCCATGCTCCGCAAACTGGGGCACCCCAATCCATGGGTCTGCAACAAGTACCATTTCAGCAACAACGCAATTATTCTAACGGATATATTCCAAGACAAAATAACCAACCTAATCAACAGCAATACCCGCAACATACAGCTGGGGTGAATCCTAACCCTGCTTCTTATCAGAATCAAGCAAGCAATAGTATTCCGCCATCTGCAATGAATCGTGGGCCATATTCGAATCAAAATCAGCAACAATATCAAGGTGGGCAACCAAGACCATACTGATTCAATTTTGTAAATTCATGTATATTAAGTGTATTAGATATATTGGCAAATACGTAAATAAATATTACTATCAAAATTTTTGTAAACAAAGCCTAGGTATAACTCCTTGTTTCGGCGATGTATAATTTGAGTATTCGTTTTCCTCAATTAACCTAACAGAACACCAACCATCGGAATGTTCTGTTAATATTCTCACTCTATCGCCTACTTTGATTGAAATTTCATCATCTAAATTCTTGACATATGATTTTATTACTTTGTACATTTTATCATCGCGGTTTATAATATTAGCCGAAGAAAGCAGGGTATGGGTCACTACTTTTTCCATGTCATGCAAGGACTTGGATTTATATGTGTTGATAATAGGTGGCAACTTTGGAAGAGGTTTCTTAGACCTTTTTTCGGAAATCGATATCTTCGAATCATTATAAGGGATTGAGAGAAAATCCGCATCAATTGACCTTAATAGACCATTAGTTCTCCGTAACCTTTCCTCGCTGTTGTAAACATCATTTGGCTTGCAAACTGATTTTCGTAAGTTGAATTTTTTCAAGAAAATCGGTGACACTAAGCCTGATTTATTTTCATTAAGGGTATCCACGTCAGCATCGTTAACATTCCTGATATTGACAGTTCGGCTTAACCTATTGAAGAAGTTTTTCACCGAGGTTTGCGTTAACTGCTGATTAGGGCCTTGTTGCATTTGTACAGGAGTTTCATTTAGACCCTGAAATTTTGTTGATACCAGATTCATACTAGATGCTTGAAATTTGGTTTCATTCATAGTTAACTTTTCGTCATTACTATGCTCCAAATATTCATTCTTGTATGGGAGTAATCCTTTTCGCCTCTTATTAAAGGTCTTTTTCTTTAGATAGAACCAGGTTAAGATTATACCAACAAGAATTGAAACTATAGCAATAGGTATGCCAATTGCAAGGCCTAGCTTTAGCGACTTATTCTCCTGAGAAATACCAGCAACGCTATCGAGGTTGTTACGGAACGGTTCTGAAGTATGAGTGGACCGTGCTGAATCACTCATGGTTTCTGATTGCAAAGAAAACTTCGATACTAGTGCGGATGGAATTGATAGTAATGTTTTAGGACGATTCAGAGATGTACTAGTTTGCTTTGAAGAACTGGAAGCCTTGATAGTGGAAGTTCTTAAAGTTGTTGATGTATAACTTTTCTTTGCCTTATTTGATATTGTAGGAATTAATGAAGCAGGTAAACTGCTAACTGTTAAAGTGGACGTTAATGTCATTAGAATGGTTAAATCTTCATCGGTTGTTTCTCGTCTTGCGATAACTGTTATTGACATACTATGGTCTAGCGAAGCATATGTATCGTAATGATAATTTGTTAACAATATATATATATCTAATATCATTGATATAGTTTCATCTATGTTTGATAGAAATCTGCAATTTTTGCAATCATTTTTTTTCTTGCGTTTCAGATTATGTACGAGAACGATTTGAAACAAATTACTACACACTGATGACCAGCATTAACCTGACTACAGCATTAAGAACACAGATAATACGGTAATCTAGACCGAGTCTATTATTCTATAAACTAATTACTATTATACGTTGGTAAAAGCATAGTGTCATCTTCGTTAGTGATAGGGTGGTTACTGTTTCTGCTCCATACGTATGGAAAATACCTATGATAAACTGATAATGCAAATCCGATACCTATAGTTCCTCCCATTATGATATCCGTAAAGTGATGTCTGTAATCTTGTGTTCTACTCAGAGCAATGTAACACGCAACGAGCAACGGAGTCAGACAAAGCAATAATTTATAAAGAGGGTGAGACCTGTTGAAGAGTTGGAATTGTCCAACCAACCACAACGTCAAATAAAGCAATCCAGAGAAAGATATCGAAGAATGGCCCGAAGGTGTCGATCTCATACCATCTACCAAGGCAGTTTGACCCAATGGAGCGGTACATACATCTATTCCAACCAACTCCACCAACGATGTGCCTTCCTTCGGACCACATCTCGCCAAGAAGTCAGGCCTTGGTCTTGCAATCCAGTTCTTCAAAATATCGGTGAACACCCCATTAATACTCAAACTTAAAAACAACCCCAATACAGAAATTTGGAGAAGGTGGATTTGATCGTGAGAAAACTTTTGTCCCCTGCTGCTAAATGCAACAACCAACATCATCACAATGAGAGGCCCAATAGATGATATTATTATGCAATCTATACCTGTCACTCTTTCTTGCACTGCAAACGGGTGCTGGATTGTGAGATCAGATAAACTAAATTGCCTGGCAAATGGCCTTGCATGCTCAGCAATAGCAAAGAAGTAAATGATTAAACCAACTCCAAGGGTCCAGTCGAGTACATATTTCTTGAATATATCACTTTTTAAGTATCTAATCATCTTGTATATCCGAATCTAATATGCTGAATATAACATGTATTGGTGTCGAGTTCTTAAATCTGTCCATAAAATCAAATATCACGTGTTTTATAGACCAAAAGAAATTATTGAGAAAGCTGGAGCTAATTGCTGCAACAACGAATGAAACGGAAACATCTAAAAGAAGCTGTTACAGTAGGAATTTTATAACCAAAATAAGTTAGATCACTGATTATTATATTTCTAACCAAATCAGGTAAATGTAATTAGACATATCTCGTTGCGAATAATCATTCTTACCTATATATATAGTCACAGAAAACTACTGGGTACTAGCGAGCAGATTGAATACATTCTTTACCTGAAAGAAAAAGGTTATAGGATTTCTAATTAGTACAATAGCAAATATACATAAATGGACATGCATTGAGAAATAGCTTCACGATGTAAATTTGGCAACTCAAAACTAAAGGTGAAACAACAGTAAGCTTAGTACAATTATTTTTTTGCAATAAATACTATAATAAAACAATATATAAATATAAAACAGAAAATAAGTAATAAATTCATAACATCATTAAGGAGTGAAATTGATAATGGTATCTAACAATTTCTAATCTATAATTTTAACTGTCTATAACCGAGCGATATTAAATTTTTGTTTGACATTTCAACTTGATATTTGATCTACTCATCTAGTCCTATCTCATTAGTGTACACCGAATGCTACTTGATAAATTAGTTAATTGTTAAAACGCACAATTATTCTTATCTGTTCATTTGGAAATGATTCTTATCATCGCCAAAGGGATTAAATTTGGGCAAAATATTTGAATTGTTGCTAAAATTAATGTTTGAATCGTAGTGATCAAATATACCCCCATTAGTAATATTCGTAGCGGCCGAAGAACTGGAAGTTGGCGGAATGGAACTGTTAGAGCCCGACGATTGTGGTGGCACAGACGAACTGACATCATTCTTATTATTAAAACCGTAAAAGTCTCCTTTAATTTCATTCGACAAATGCTTGATCAAATTCTTTAAATTTACCAGATGGAAGTAATTTGGATCAGCCAAGTTTTGAAACTCGTTAATAGAAAAGTTCAAAATTTGCTCATTTGACAATTCATATTCGTTTGGAATATAATTCTTGATTTCGTTTTTTGGTTCCTTTACATCTTCCTCTTCATCCATAGTGATATATAATTCTGGTTTATCAAACGGCAACACTGCGCACAACCAAATTCTTGTCTTGTAGATTTTAAATAATTCTTTGATTAATCCTCTAAAGTCTATTCTTTTGAACCCTGCAAAATAATAGAAAATTAATTTTTTGAAATCAGATTGATATTCAACATTGATTAGTTGTAAATCATTATTCAAATTTAACTCTTTGATCTTATTGAAACATGTGATAAATGCTTTCTTTTCTTCCAAGAACTTACCACTGATCTTATGAACCTCCTTTGGAGTAGCAAATCTTAATACTTGCTTAGTTGGTAACGTAATAATGAATTCGTTATCCTCATTATTGTGAGAATTTACAATAGACGATGCATTGACCGAAGTCGAATGAGTCCCCCCGCTTGGTTTCTTAGGACCTTTCAGTTGCAGCTGCATATTATGTCCTGTAGATTGGTTGGAATCAATAATAGTCAAGGATTTAAGATGTTCTAACTTTTTCAAAAAGTTAAATAAAATCGCAAAGTTCAAATTGACCAAAGGTTCTAAGATCATCACTAAGTCTTTACCTCTATCACCATCAACGATGACTAAATCATGCTTTTGAAGAAATATATTTGAATTATTAGGATAGGATAATAAATCAAATTTCCCATTTTTATTTATAACAAGACACAAAATCTTGTGATTGAACGTCAAATTGTTCAAATTTTTGATGAAGGTTATCAACTTAATAATAACGGGGTTGTTGATTAATTCGTTTAACTGACTTATTATTTTTTCACTGGTTTCCATATTCTGGAAGTATCTAGCAGTTTTCATATACAAGCTTTTTAAGTTAGAAGACGCAACAATGTACTGGTCCCTTAAAATCAAACCATTCTCCAATTTTATTACGGAGTTGGTCGTCTGCATGGGTTGGGGCATATAATTCAATGGTGGCGGATATGGATTAAAATTTGACTGAAACCCTACCAACTGGCTAGGTCTTCTGCTCTGGAAATCGTTAAAGTTAGCATTCAAATCGATATTATTGAAACTGTCATTAAATCGACTCATATTGATAGTATTATTATTGTTATCACCATTGTTGTTATTGGAGTAATTATTGACAGCCGCGAATGTCGCCAACGAATTCTTCTCACTATTTCCCTTGTTACCGTCATTGCTATACGACGCATGCTCTTGCGACTCATCGGGATGCCCCCCAGCCCCCTGACTCAAACTCAAATTCAAAAAATTGTTGTAATTGACCGGCAAGTTGGACCTGGTGAACGATTCAGCCGCATAACTAGGCCTTCTCGACGAAATGGTGCCCACACCTCCCTGTAATTCGACTGGCAAGTTAAACGAATCGTGCTGTGTTAATGGTCCCTGGTACCCATACTGACCCATTCCTCCTACTGGCGCCCCTTGTGACTGGAAATGCGACCCCATCATTGGTGACATCATGTTAGCATTCATATCTCCCTGTGCCGTAGAAGTTGGCGACTGAGATTGCCCACTTTCCAAATTAGTCAATTTGTTGAACAATATGTTGTTGAAATGACTGTTTTCGTTGTTTTTATCATTTTCGCTCTTACCATCTTCTTGTTTGGCTTCGTTTGCTAAATTTCCATGCGTACCTGCCGACCCAAACTGTTCTTGACCTTTGTCGGGGCGCTCTTGCAAAAAATCGGGATAATTGAAATTCATATCTCTATCTTTACTACCCTACTATTCTTTACCGTATATTCTATAACTTTTTGGATATATCTATCAAAATAAACACTGGATATGAAAAAAGCTTTAATTTCGTTTAATCATTCACCGCGAGCTTATGTTGTGACGTTCTTTACAATAAGCTTATGATAATTTTACCAGTACTATGTGCAGGACAACTCCATTTTCCTCTGTTCTGGTTACATTTACGCCACTACATTGACTTCTATAGTATACAAAACATATATTGACAAGTACTAATGCTAGCTAATCACCTAATTGTCAGGTGTGGTTTTTCTCGCGAACCCAGTACCAGCCTTGGGTGGATAACTCGTGTTTGTAGAATCATCGATTGGTTCACATGTACACCAATTTTCCTTAGGTGTTGGGTCCATCACCGAAGCAATGTGATTTCCACATCCGGTCCACGATTTGTAGTCTAGGTTGGTTAGTACTGTAATGGTTCTGACGTAGTGCTGATGTTGTCGCGGTTGGCGGAGAGAGATCGTCTGCTGTTGAAAAATCTGGGGATTCAGCGTTCGAACAATTACCCCGGCATGTACTTCGGATTCCCCACTGCATCTTTTGGACCACTCAAACTATGATACATACGACAAATAGAACATATTTCACCTCTGCACATCTTGATTGTATTAATTAGTAAGTAGAAGTAAGTAAGGAAACGAAAAACTGGAGAAGTGAAAATAATTCGTCTCAAGTATTTATAGAGGAAACAATTTACTGAGTGCGCCGGAACAACCCATATCCATTTGACCGAGGTTCCCCGAAAATTTAGCAAGTGACGGAGAAACATCCCCAAATCATTGAAAAGGCAGACTGCCGATGGCGAGGACCCACAGACCCGTTTATACGCTACTAATATGCAAGAGGCATAATGCTGTGAGTGTTTCGAGTGGTTTAATATGACATCATGCGATGTGAGCGAGCACTGGGGTGTGCGAACGATTAAGGGCCGTTAGTGCCGAAGAGAAATCATAGGACAATTGACTTGCAGATGGTTAGTTGTCCAGTATGAGGGCGAATACATGGAAATCTAGTGGATGTTTGAGCTATTTTGTGAGCACTAGTTTAGCAAAGCTATGTGGGGACAAGGACCAGTGAAGTGCTCTGAGATTGTCGCGGGTGAGTCGCAGAGCGAAGAATCCGAGAAGGGGTTTGGTGGTCCGAGTCGTTTTGGTGTTTGGAAGTCTTGGCCTTAGGCTTTTATCAACGGCAGTGAGAGTCTATTGTAGTGTTGGGACCAACCATAAATACGCTTCTAGGCTTTAGGCTTTAGGCTTTTAGATTTTTTGTAGTGGTTTGAAGCAATTAAAAGCGTTTCAAAGCACCTTAGAGTGTTTTGCATAGGTGTTTTAATGACCGAGTGGTCCATGGGATCACAAGTAGTGATCAGAAGATGTGCAACGGTGGATTTCGTTATCAGATTAGTACAGTCGGAAAATTTCGATAGTGAGGCTGCGAAAGACTCCGCTAATAACTACGAACGCTTCCAGGAAACCCAGGAGTATAGGCTATAGTTCAGCTCTTGACTAGTAGCTCACAGCTGCAGGTAAAGAAAGTGATCGATTAATAAAGTTACTTACTCTTTGAGTACTACTATTAAAGAAACTTTAAATTAATGATGGTATAAATAAAGCTAATGCAAATAATAAAGGTAAGAATACATAAAGTAAGCTCTTGAATCAATATATAAGCCTGAATTTCCTATCTGAAGGTAACACTTGAATGAAGACTAGAGTTGAAAGCTGGTATGACATGACCTAATCAGACGAATATGGACCTAAAATTGCACCCAGACCCCTCAGAATCAAAGAGACGAACCATTCACGGATTCACTGTTAGCCGTCCCACCCTGTGTTCAAGCTATATATTCTTTACTATCCTTTCATCACATGATCATTGACGCTACCGTCGTTTTCCTTTCCTACAAGCTGTTCAAGCTTCTATAAGATCGTAATATTGTAGTATAAAAACCTATAATACCTGGCTTAATACCTGGCTTCAAAAGCTGCCCCCTATATACTACACTTTGTTCGCAATATCACCCATGATTCATGAGCAAATAAGAACCCTAACACCCTCCTACTTGCTCACGATGTGCTTCGATAACATCACCGTCTTCCAAATCCAAATCATCTGGAGTATTGTCTGGGCCAACTCTAGCACCGTCAATTAAAAATCTTAATGTATCCATGGTTTTACCTTGTCTCTTACAGAAAGCTTCCATCAATCTTCTCATGGGGGTAGACCTCTTAATCTTGAAAAAGATTTCAGCTGATCCGTCAGAGACTTTCAAGTTAATATGAGTGTTATCTGGCTTTTCTTCCTTTGGTTGATTTTCGTTATCAGACATGATAGTTGTTGCTATTACTAAAATAAAAAGAAGTATATGTGTTTGTCAAAATTCATTTATTGACGTTTAGATAATGCGACATTATTAAAATGTCGCGCATACTATCTTGCCACCATAATGCGACATTTTTACATCAATTATTCACTACTACTTCCTAGAAGTAACTACTTGGTATTTGAAACGTACTGACATGGTATTGGTCTCCGTGCTTAGTGAATAATGACCAAATTTGGGATTTTGAAATAGTGGAAACTGAATGGGATGCTAATTAAATCTATCTTTAGCACTCTTCGAATGTGTTTCATGCTTGTTTCAATCATGTTTGGCCCTGTATTATTTATATTTAAATATATATTCCAATTGTATTCTTATGTTCAATGAATATATAATTTATGTTAATGAAGGAAAAGAGATATGAAGAAACAATTCTTGAACTATTACGAGATACTTTCCCAGGTATGGTTCAACAAGTATACAATAATATTAGTCCTTATGACAATCAAGATATATCTATTTACGAGCTCAATCCTATCAAATTTGACGAATTTCAAAGCATACACAGAATCAATATGTACTTCGCTTGATACATATTCTACGGTAATAGCCTCATTACCAGAGCAGCTATCCAAGGTTATTAACCATATGGTTGCGTCGACTTTAAATAGCATGAAAATGCAATCTTTGAAGATGCTTATGACAATAATAACCATCATAAAGCTGTTAATTGTGTTTTATATAGATATATTCTTGGGAACATATATTTGTATTTTGACAGCTGCAATTGGTGGGACCGTCAATTTTGCATTAGATTCTACTCAGCTGGTCCTTAAATCGGTAAACGAAACTATTATTTCAGTAAGCGATGATATCCAAGATGGATTGAATGGAATCCTGAAAGTTATTAATACGTTGCTCTCTGGTGTTGATAAAGTAAAATCCTTCTTTACAAACCAAGACACAGACTCTACTGAATACGTAGATAAAGTTAATCTATCTATAAAAGCATTGCAAAATATAAAAATCCCCAATTCAGTACTTACAGATATTGAAAAATTTAAAGATAAAGTACCAGATTTCAACGAATTACAAAATACATCGAAGCTTGTAAGTAAACCTTTTGAAAAAATAACTCAGGAGCTTAATGAGCTGGCCCACTTCAAGAATATCACAGTGGACCAATTGAAGTTAGCAAGCACCCCTCCTGTTAACTTTTGTTCAAACTCGTTAGATATAGACAAGTTTTATACCAACTTAGCCAAAAAGGTCCAGTTCACTTCAAATATAATTATAATTGTTTTACTTATCATGGCAATGTTTGCTATTGCCTCGTTAGTTGTCGTTGAATATTTCAAATGGAGAAAATCCCAAAGAATGATAAATGAAATACTTGCAGATAAGAATCAAGAATCATATTTTGTTCTGACAAGGAACATAATGAATAAATATAATAGCAGCTTAATTTATTATATTGAAAGATTCGTCACTATACCGCCTTCTAGAAAGGATAATCTATATTGGTTACTATCCTATATTACAACATCCTACTCGTTAACGGTGCTCATTATTGGTCTTGCTGGTTTATTTACAGTGATGCTACAATTCATTCTCCTCCAAATCATCTTGAAAAGCTTTAAAAGCCTAACAACAGAATTGACCGGATTTAAGTCTCAAATTGTCAATCTAATGGATAACGCAACCGCTGGGTACATAAAGGAGACAAATAGTTATATTGGATCACAACAGAAACTGATAAATGATGAATTGTTTGGTAATATAAGGATTGCATCAACGTCGGTAAACTCAACTATAAACGATTTTCTAATGAAAATGAATACTACCATTAACTCAGTATTTGCTAATACACCATTTAGTAAACCGGTTAATACATTAGTATATTGTACTATTGGGAGAAAACTCATTAAGATTGAACAAGGATTAACATGGATAGTTGAAAATTTGTCAATATCTTTACCACAGTTACCCAAAAACCTAACCGAAGACTTTATGACTAACTATTCCAAAGATAATCACGGTATTCATAAGCTCACCGATAACGTTACGAGTGGCATTACCCTTTTACTCGATACATATAAGAAGAGTTTGCTTATTGAATTGTATATATCCTCTGCTATACTAGGAATCTGGATTTTGCAAATAATTATCGGACTCACACTAATATGGTATAGAAACTTCAAAAGCAGCAAAGCTCATAAACCTGAAAAGATACAAGGGGAGCCAACGATCGGAAACCCTAAACCCTTGACAACAGAACAAAGAAAGGAATATGGTTATCCTCATATTGATCCATTTAATGAAAAGGTTGATGCGAGTTCAAGTATATATTCGTTGTAATGGTTGCAAAATTTTTAATAGCAAAATAAACATATATTTAGAATAAAATGACTATAAAACAAACTATGATACATACAAGAACACATTTATTACTTCTTGATTGGAGCTGGCTTTTTCCAATAGTACTGCTTATGAGTTCTTCTGCATGATCTTAACCCACCATGTCCTTTGATGCTGGAAACTAATTTAGGTCTCTCAGTGTCATCATCGTTTTCAGGCATATAATAATATTCCTCTTCTAATGGTTTACCAGCAGCATCTTTGCCTTCTCTATAAATGATACCAATCGATTTGACATTGTGTAAAATAACTCTGAGCTGCTTCAATGATAGTTCGGAGGTAATCGCACTTATAGTATTTAAAAAGGATGCAGGCGTCGAAGATAACCTAGAGAATGCAAGATGATTGACTAATATATTGTTAATTTCTGGAATATTTTGAATACCTTCAATACAAGATTGGTCAATCTCCACTTTTTGTGGCTGTTGAGATTTCTTCTTCTTTTTCATTGGCTTTTGGGGCTCTTCAGAATGTGCCCTTCTCTTCGGGGTATTAGGCTTACTGAAAGTATTTGATTTGTCACCTAACGGAGTTGATGGCATTTGTACCACCTCCTCTGTTGCGGGCGTCGATTCTTTTATAAACATATCGACGGTTTTTGAAGTATCATCATTTGAATCTTGTGGCTTTTGATCTTGATGTATTTTAAAAGGTTTGTATCCTAATGCCTTTTTTATTGAGGAATCCGAAAAGTTGCGTTTGATATATGAAATCGGAGTCGACTCTTCTGAGGTACATTTAAATTCCTTCTTTGACGGAGTGTGGGGCAATGATTGTATATTGACGTGATCCGGCGTATGGTAAGCAGGTTTGACGACTGTTGACCTACTGTCAACTATTGTTTCAGCAGGCTTGGCTTTATTAATTAAAACAGGGGTCTCGTCATCAGTCAAGTCCTCTTCATCTTCAACCGGATTCAACAATATTAAGTTATTACGGATTTCAATGAGAACGTTATCCAATTTTGGTAAAGTAACCGACTCATTTCTGTTGACCACAAACTCAGTATGATTCGATTCCAATTTTATTGTACGTGGGGTAATAGTGAGTCCTAAACGTTCAAGACCACCGACAGATAATGGTGTACTTTTGTTCTCCATCAATATGTAATCATTCTTGTTATTGGTACCATAAACCACGCACGGTTTTGGAATTCTCATGGCAAACCCGTTGTAACCCAAACAGTGTAAGTTCATCTGGTTCGTGTGCTGGTCGTATGAAATAGATATGTGGGTTCTCGAAATGGTCTTATCCTTAGCATTGAGATAAAAGTCACACGCTTTTGACGATCTCCCAATCAACAAAGAAGTCTTGTTGGCAAGTAATGGTACTCTTAAAACCTTGGCATCAGGATCCAATATATTGAAATCCCTGTTTATTTTAACCTTCTGTGGTTTTTGTTGCCCAACAGAATGTTCTTTGCGCTCTTTTGCTGGTGTTGACAGTACCAAGTTGAACGAAACAGACTTTTTGGGCTTCACAGACAAATTGACCTCATCCTCATCTTCTCTGCTTAATGATGAAGATCTACCAACACTAGATGACGGATTAGGCGTAGGATAGTTCATTCTACCCCTGTCTACCATGCCCTTTTCACCTTTGCTCCCGATCGCAAACGGATCGTGCTCCTCGTTGTAGTCGCCACTGCCACCCATCAACGGCGACGATGGTGGAAATTGATAATTACTACTCATTTATATGTGCAATATAACTAGTCGCCAGATATCGTATTATCCTGATAGATTGTGTATATCGATAACTATGAAAATCACTATTAATGCCTTGTTTATTCTTGTAACTGTCTGCTACTTTGTTTAGAAAATTTGCGGCTGCGATGTTGAGATGTAGGTATGACCGTATGTTTTGCGCTGACTATGTGACCGACAAATGACCGAAAGTTATACAATTTACCCACTGACTGTCACGCTTCTTCTCGTATGAACCAAAACAATCACTCTCTCATGACTGGTCCTCCGACATAGCGTACTTGCCAATCGTCCTTATTACTGGTGTACTGACGGTTTGTTTGTTTGTTTGTTTATATCTGTTTGTATGGGACGCGCTGAACAAACGCGTTTCCTCAACCTCAGGGTAAAATGACCGACAAAATGACAGCCGCTCATTTTAGCCGAAGCCCACCAAAGGGCTATACCCCAACGACCTTGTCATTCAAAAATTAAAACAGTCACATATCAGGTGATACGGCCAGGAGAATATATATAGACGTCACACAAAAAAGCATTGGCCCATTTCTCACAAAATGACGGAGCGTTACCCGACCGCACGTGACAAAGCAACAAATTTTCACTACTACGCACCAAGCCAGTCGTAGTAGGTATTGTAAGTGAAAATTTTGTAAAAGAAGGTTAGCATAGTTTTGATCAAATAACTACATAAATAATTAGACAACATGGGTAGTATGTGAGGATCTTATATGAGTCTAACGTTTTTAAAACGATAGCAGACCACTACTTGATTTGTGAATGTGTATGAAGTATTGAATGAACGAAGATAGAGATGAGATGATGAGGGACAAGAAAATGGGTGAAGACAGGAGATAGCAGGAAGCGAAAAGTGAATAATGGTGGAAAGTGATACAGCGTAATTATGAAGGAGAGTAATGGGGACAATAGGAATTACGGGTAAATAGAAGGAATATGAACAGGAAATAGATGGGACATAAATCGTCATTAGTACCGTACACATTCATACAGCGAGAGTGGATAAAACACACAAAATAACAATACTAACACCTTTAATAGAAGGTACTCCATCTTTAGGTAAACGTCACAACAAGTCCCACACTTTATGTAACAGATGTGGTAAGCGTTCATTCCACGTCCAAAAGAAGACCTGTTCTTCTTGTGGATACCCAGCTGCTAAATTGAGATCTCACAACTGGGCCACAAAGGCTAAGAGAAGAAGAACTACCGGTACTGGTCGTATGGCTTACTTAAAGCACGTTTCTAGAAGATTCAAGAACGGCTTCCAAACCGGTGTCGCTAAACCTCAATCCGCTTAAATTAAATGATTATTTACAAAACAATTAATAAATAAAGAATTTTAATGTAATAAAAGGTTGCTTTTTATTCGATTTTAGTTTATCATTAAATAATTCACATATTATTTGATTTTCGTTATGTATTGAAGTTTACGTATATCATAAATAAAATATTTGTATCATATCTGGTGCTTGTTTGAGAATATATTTGTAGATCAGTCATCGACTAGGGCCATTTCGTCAAAGTTTAAGTCCTCATTATTCATGTTGAAGTACAAATTATCCGCTTCCTCATGGGTGACGCAGAGGTCCAATATTTCCCGGGCTACTTCAATGGTATCGGTTTCGTATGGGAACTCTAACCCGTTAGCCAATTCACTTTCGATATCTGCAACCAATTTCCCATCAGTATGTAGGTTACTAAATGTTATATGGTTTATCTCGCGTGCTTTTCTTTCGCAGTCATCGTTGAACACAGGCTTGTCGTACTTGTGCTTGCTTCTGATATCCAAAAGAAGACTATGTGCTTCGGCAGATAACGAATTGGATCCAAACGCAATCCTCAGAAGTATAACAAATATTTCGTATAAGGTTTCAGGATAAATCAAATTATTTAAACCTCGAACCTCCGAAGAAATATAATTGAGAATTCGAACTAGCACCGCTATAATTTGAATCCTCAAGTATATCGTTTTAGACCTCGGAGACCTCATTATGAAGACTTGTTCAAACCCTATGGTTCGAACAATGGACTTGATATATTCCTTCAGTTCAAATATCTGTGTACTTGACTTTGTGACAATAAAAGACTCTAACAAAGTAGCAACTTTTAGCCTTAGGTCAAGAACATGGTACTCATGTTTTGATTGTAATTCGAATGCTAATTGATTCATTTGTGAATCTTTGCTAGTCAAGTTAGTTTCTTTTTTGACTGGAACCATTCTTTCTTGTAGATATTCATACGGTATAGGGCAAGGTCTAGATATCATTGAATGATTTAGTAGCGTCTCGGACGTCGGTATTATAGAGTCAATTTTGCTAAAATCAATGTTGTTTCCCATCATCCTATTTAACCCATAGAACATAAAATCATCTTTAACTGGTAACTCTATAAGAAATACTTTTAAAAGAGAATTAATTATCGATTCATCCAGTATTTTATTAGGTGAATCATTATATGCAAATGTTGTTTCACTTATTGATGACATTAATATTTCAACAAAGTTATAAATTAGATTAATTTGAGCGAGATTTTTGAATCTTTCAGTATTTTCTGGTAGACATTTTCTAAATAATTCGACTCTAACATAGTTCTCTTTCCAAATGGTTTTAATAAATTTTGCCCCAAAAAGTGAGGATAAAGACATCAATTTTTCTATTATATCAAGACAACATATGAGTGCAAACTTTTCCAAGACCATAACTTGATTTGGTACATCATGATAATTTATGAAATCTTCCTCATCTTGACTTGAGTCTAGTAAAAAAGTAAAATTTAATGCTAATTTACAAATTGATTCTAATAATGATTTAATAGATGTTTGGCTAACTGCAGATGATCGGAAATTCAATGACGCGTGTATCAAGGCTAACAAAAATGGAATTGATAATATTAGTTTCTTCTCCAAAAGAATATCTACCAAGTCAGATAAGGTTTGCGTAAATTCTGCAACTAATTCATCCAATCTCAGATTTTTCTTCAACATGAGATATTCAGTTATGCCAGTAGATAATGGCATTTTGGCATGCGTTTTAAAGTCATGTACCAGAATATCAATATCCACGTAGATCTTGCTGAGATAGTTAAGTGTCGATCGTTTACTTCCATTTATACAATGATTCCAAATATGATCCGTGAAGAGCGACGCATCATTTTGTATTTTGATAATCTTTTGAGGCAATATAGGCCTCAATTCTGTCTCCGGTTCAACAGATTCTGCACGCTCGTGCTGATATTGTAGTCCATTTGCTTGTTGTGTGTCCAGAATAGGTATCACGTCTATATCCATCAGCGAATCGTCAGCCCTATTCGGAAGCTTTCTTCTTTTTAATGCCGTTGCACCCCTAAGCTCGTTGTTCAAGAACTTCTTTTCATCTTCTAACTTTTGTACCGTAAACTTTAGCGCTTTCAATTGTTCATCGTTTTTTACTTTACTAATGTCAAGTGATTCCTTCAACTTATTCAAGTCTTCCTGCTTTTGATTTTGCAACTGCTGAAGCTGTGCTCGAAGTATGGCAATCTCACCGTCTGAACGGTTCAACCTAGCTTGAATATCATTGTTAGGTAGCTGTGTACTATTACTATTCTGTGTTGGTTTGTCAATATTATTTGGAGTTGTTACTCGTCTGTTTTGGGTTGATTTGGCTTTAGTTAATGCAAGTAAAATTTCATCGTCATCGTCATCAAAATCATCATCTGAAAGTGACATAGTTCTACTCTCTAAGATATTTCCATTTCTATTTGAAATGATGAACAATACGTGTTTAACAGTATATAGATATCATAATAGTGCTATCTCTACAGTTAGTCGTGCACTTTCTCTCACTAAACACTTTGCGGCTCATCTCTAAATTTATTTCTGATGAAAAATTTCTTCGAGATCGTTATAACTAGTATAATTGACTAGCATTAAAACTTTGTCAGTTCTAGTAGTCATACATAGTTTACGTGACATTATTCAGCATTTCCAATAATATACTTGTGAGTCATTAAGAAAAATGGCTGAAAATACCGAAGTTAATAAACAGGAAAAGCCATCGGCTCCTCCAGCATCGCTTGTTCCAGTTCAACCAACTGCAATTAGCTCGAGGGATAAAACCACGAAGAGATTAGTCGTGGTATTGTCACAAGCATGTTTGGAAACACATAAGATGAGCAGTAAAGGACAAAGTGGAGATAAATTTGCTTTATTGAACTGTGACGATCACCAAGGTTTGTTAAGAAAGATGGGCAGAGATATCGCAGAAGCTAGACCTGATATCACGCATCAATGTTTATTGACATTATTAGATTCTCCTATAAATAAAGCTGGTAAATTGCAGGTATATATTCAAACTGCCAGAGGTGTTTTAATAGAGGTAAATCCTACAGTCAGAATCCCAAGAACTTTCAAGAGATTCTCAGGATTGATGGTGCAGTTGTTACATAAATTGAGTATTCGTTCTGTTAACTCTGAAGAAAAATTATTAAAAGTTATCAAAAATCCAATTACTGACCATTTGCCAACCAAGTGTCGTAAAATCACCTTATCGTTTGACGCAGAAATCAGAAGAGTCCAAGATTATGTAACTACTTTGGACGAGGATGAAAGCATCTGTGTTTTTGTTGGTGCTATGGCAAGAGGTAAAGATAATTTTGCTGATGAGTTTGTCGATGAGAAAATAGGTCTTTCAGATTATCCATTATCTGCTTCGGTTGCATGTTCTAAATTCTGTCATGGTTGTGAAGATGTTTGGGGTATTTTCTAAACTTTATTTCTCTCTAATCCTATATTCTGGCCTTCATTTCTTGTGTCTTAGTATATATTAATAAATTGCATTTAGTACTAGAATCTGGTGTATTAATGCTGGTGTAAGGATGTCAATATTTATATATTTGCGACACTTTTCGTTTGTGGAAATTGTGTTTGCACCTAAGTTGGTCAACTTGTACTTACATCCTATAATACACATAAATACCCCTTAAGTTCTTCACACTTCATTCATTTAATTTACATCCTCATTCGACGTAATTAGAGATGTCACAAGTTATTCAAGCTGGTGCTGTTCATGGCTTATACGCTGCACTCACGATTAGTACATATGTTTTAGAACAATTACGGATGAAGAATTTGCTAGATATTCATACTTCAGCTGCAACTGTGGTTCCATTGGATGACCATCCAATTCCCTTTTATATTCGTCGTGACAGAAAAGACAGACAAAGAAATATTAAAGTTTTCGGGAAAGACGGTGTACAATTGTATACAATTGAAAGATTGTCGGCCATCAATCCTGTTTGGAACATGTTAACATTCCCTGAAAGACGAGAGGTAGCTACTATCAATTCCGGGGTATTTAGTAGCTCTGTTGATTTCCATTCCAAGGCAGGAATTTCCCACCGTGACATAAATGTTGATTATGGTTTAAGCGGTGGAAATCGAAGCTTCTATACCAATGATGGTGCAAAATACTCATGGATAAGAGGCTCCAAGTTTTTAGAAAAGGTCATTAACCCAAATGGTGGCGTTGAAGAGATTAGAGAAAGGGTAGCTAAGGTTAAATTGATGAGACAATTCAAGTTTGACTTTGAAGTATTGATTGACGAAAACAAGATTGACAGGGAAATTGCGTTAGCTACTGCATTCTCTTCTATGTTAACCCAATGGGGTGTTGGAGAAATTACAGACACTATTGGACCTACTTTTGTTGAACCAAAAAATCAAGTTGAAGCGAATACTAATAAGCTTATTATTTCCAAAGACAATGATAATTCGGAGGTTGTTCTTATGTTTGATAACCATTCATTTGTCAAATTGCCTGCTTCAGATTCTTCTCGTGTTGCTGAACTGGAATAGAGTGTGTTTACACTAAATATAAAGTATTTATTAAAGGAAAAAAAAAGCCAGGCAAGTATGTATCCCTTAACTACTTGCTACTACTGGGCAAAAACTCCATATAGTTAAATAGATTTACCTTACATCAAAAATAAAAACTAGTATACATTATACTTTCTAAATACCAAATAAATAGTGCGTTAAAAACAAATCAAAAAAATCGAATAAAAATTATATAATATACAATATAGATTAAATATCCATAACTCCTTCCTTTTGTAAGACCTTCTCAATTTCTTTGAATAAGGTATCAGTGGTAACTTTCGACCCTTTAACTCTTGCACAAACGATTTCAGATTTTTGGTTAAATTCTCTTGGATTAACCTTTATTCTGAACTTACAATTCTTCAAATTAAACGCATTATTCTTTGAAATTTCACCTGTTATATTATAACCAACTGTATCATTTCTTAAATTTTTCAATCCAAAATTAGACCAAGAATTTAATAATGCAAATAAAGCTGATGACATTTCTTGTTTCGGCAAGATTGCCTTAAACCGTCTAATCTCAGATTCAATACCAGGTTGATTTGAACTACTTGAGAACCATCTAAAGAATCCTGATTTTGATTTTGGCTTTTCTTCGACTGATGGAGCCCTAGAATCTGCTGGAGATGGTAGTTGAGCGGTTGAATTGTCCATTGTTTTTTTGGAACCCCATGATAACTTACGGAAAATGGACCCCTTTCTCTTTTGGTTCTCCCTAGGCTCGTTCGTAGTATCTTCCAATGGCTTTTTAATTTGGCTTTCTGGCCCTGTGGATTTTAATTCTCCATTAGAAGCCTTAGGTTTACGAACCTTTTCGTATGGCCGAGAACGTGGATCTGGCTTTCGCGTTTTAGTATCTTCAGGAATATTATCAACATTAGGTATTAACATAGACTCAGCACTAGGTTGGAATGACTTCTTTTTGTTTGACTTCGCAGTAGGTGCTGATTGTCTTCTATCTTCGTTAGGCAATTTTATATTCTCAAATATCATATCTTCGTCTTCATTATTCTTAGCACCTTTTTCAGAATAAGCACTCTTTCTTCTATGAACATCGTCATCTTTAGTTACGAAAGTATCATCTTCTCTATCACGTTCCTTGTTTGACTTCTTTGGAATAGCTGGAACATCAGCAGTTGGTGCTTGAGAATTTCTTTTGGCTGTTGAATATCTTGATTGCCTTCTTGACCTATCACCAGCGTAATACGAAGAACGCTTATTAGCGAGATGTTGATCAAAATCCATGATAGAACCTTCATCTAATGGCTCGTCTTCCCCTTCTTCAGCATCTGGTAATCCAGCTCTATCCAATCTATCAGCAAAACTGGTTCTTAACTGTGGCAATTTTCCCTCTACGTCATTACTCTCGTTTTCATCATCACCCAAAATTGAATTTAAATCACGATACGATTGCTTGGTAGAGTACATACTTAAAACAGACAATCTTTTATTTGAATTGGTAAAACACCTTGATTTTCTGGTTACTGTTGGGATTCTGACATCACCAATAAGAGTTTTAGGTTCTTTATCCTGTCTCTTTTTTGACTTAACTTCTTTTTCACCATTAACGATTGCATTTATGTTCAACTGTGAGTTCAATAATCTAGATTTTCTGATCTCACTCATATACTCATCACTTAAATCAGATCTTTCCATATCTGGTTCAGGCAATTCATAGCCGCGGGAGTTGGCCTTAACTGCTTCCTCATTTTGGACTTCGTCAGTAACATCATCATGTTGTTCATTATCAACCTTTTTATCATCCATAACCGAAACCATAGATTCTCTATTAATTTTCTTTTTGGTCTTGAAATCAGCATCCCTATATTCAGCTTCTAAAGCATCTTGGGCTCTCTCTATCTCTTCATTTTCATAAGCAGTCCATAATGGATCCAATCTCGAGACTGGTCTTCTGGTTAAAACTGGAGTCTTTCTTCTTCTAGGAGTAGGTTGAGTTACTGATCTTCTTTTTAAATTTTCAAGGTCCTCCTTTGTTAAATCATCACTTTCTTTGCCATGACCTTCAGAAATTGAACGCATAGCTTTGTTTCTGGATTGCCTTTTTGGCTGAGAAAGCGCATCTGAATCAGTTACAGTTATATCTTGTTCACTGTTGTTTGCGTCGTCTTTAACCAAAATAGATAATTTTCTAGAAGAAAGTAACGATTTTCTCTTTTCTCTTTTCCTTTGTTTAGCTAATTCTTTCCTAGCTCTTAACTCAGCTTCGTGCTTTTTCCTTTCTATTTCCATTAGCCTTTCATATTCCTTTGCTTGCTTTTCTTCTTCGTCAATCAATTTTTCATCTTCTGCATCATATTGTTCTTGATTAAAAATCTTATCACATAACGTAGCGAAGGTAGCAGAAGTTCTTTTAGTTTGCTTATCCATGAATTCCCAATCTGTTTCACCGGCTAACTTAGCGTACGTAGATAATAATTTTGTAGTTATCGAATTACGTTTAAGTCCTGGTGTAAATGAAGTCCTTGATTTTCTTCTTGATAACCTGTTTTTAGAAATGCTATTTCTGATAACTGAACCCCTTTTATTCTTTGTTGGTGATATTTTCGCCGATGATAATAAATCCTGATTACTTACTTCGTCAACAATTGGATTGGATTTAGAATCCATGTTATCCTTTGATGGCAAAGGAGGAGGCATAACACCTTGACCATTTCTTTGAGCACTGACAATCTCATTATAAATGTTTCTGGGAACTGATGAACTATGGAGAGTTGATTCATCACTTGCTCCACCAAACTTTCTTGGTGACTGGGCAAAAGAATATCTATTAGAAGAACGACGAGCAGGAGACTTGCGAGGAGAATTATTGACGCTCGAGGTTGTTGAGAGTCTACCATTTCCATTACCAATAGAAGATTTTATTCCATTTTTATACTGAAACAGAACTGGCCTATTTCTCGACGTTGAAGCACTGACTTGACTCATTCTCTTCTTTCTATTATTATCCTTATTTGCAGTCTTATTATTAAAGTTTTGTGAGTTTGATCTTGTTGGCGAAGAACCAGCGGATTCTTCCTGGTTGTGTCTATATCTCATTAATAACGCATAGAAAGTTTTTTCTGGATTAGATCCCGTCTTTAATAAACAATCAACGATATCCTCTTGAGATCTATCGTGCCATAAAATGGATAAGTTTTGCAAAATTTGTTTATCGATATTCTTTTCCGAACCTAAAGACTTATAAGCAGTTTCGGGGTGAGGTAAACTTTTGACACTTATTAAATCTTCGTTTGGAATTGGGTATTTAGTTAATAAAGGATGAGTCAATATTCTTTCAGTTGGAATTCTCTTCATAGGGTCAACGGTCAACATTTTATCGATTAAATCCACTGCTTCAGAACTCAATTCAGATGGCATCTCAAAACTACCTGCTTGAACTTTCAAAAGCAAGTTCCTGATATTTTCGTCGTCAAATGGCAACCTACCCGTTAATAAGGCAAATAATATAACCCCACAGGACCAGATATCTGATGCAGCTCCATGGTATTTTAATCCACTAACAATTTCAGGAGCAGCGTAATGAGGTGAACCACATGAAGTCTCAAGCAACTTACCATTGCTTTCTAAAGCAGCCATTCCAAAATCAGCCAACTTGACATTCAATCCTGAGTCCAATAACAAGTTTTCTGGCTTCAAATCTCTATGGCAAATACCTAACGCGTGACAATAGGCGGTGCCTAGTATAATTTGCCTGAAGTATTTGATGGCCTCAACCTCCTGTAACGGACCCCTTTCAACCAACAAATCGAATAACTCACCTCCTTCAACGTATTCAAGGACCAAGTAGAGCGCCTTTGATGTCTCCCAAACATCATACAATCTCAACACATTTGGATGTGTCAACAACTTCATGATGATAATTTCCCTTTCTATACCGTATGGCAACCCTGCTTCATCTGCAGACTTCTTATTCATTTCATCGTCATTTAATTCCGATTTCGATACAACCTTAACGGCAGCTTTCTGGCCGGTGCTCTGATGCGTGGCCAACAATACTCTACCAGTTGCTCCTCTTCCCAAAGTCTTTCCTAGCTTCCATGGCCCTATCTTCTGTGGATGGATATTACCCGTCGCCGTCGAGCTCAACGACGCTATCGAATCTTGTCTTTGATGTGAAGACATGTGTTTATTGTATAACTTTAAAAGTTGACAATTCTGCAAAAAATTTCAAAAGATGGATTTTATTAAATACTGTGTCCACTCTGTTACCAATTCTATCCCAATTAATTACAATTCAATTGAGGTCTATAAGCGAAGGAATTTTTGTTGATTTCAAAACTTTCTGTTAAATCTTTTATTTTCAATTATATTTGACTTGCTAAAAAGAAGAATAAATATCCAAATTCTTATTCTTTAGGCATAGTTCATCTAGACGTTGAATTTTTTTAACCTGTTTTAGGTTAAAATTTAATTGCAGAACAGAGACGTGTCGCGTTCGACTCCTTTGTCGTATATTTACATAATCGGTAGCCATGATTTACGTAAATAAGCGACATAAAGGACAAGGCGTGCCTTATTTCGTCCTTGACCATCTCTGGTTATGTAGTGTCTACTGCTTGCACATTGTTGGCCAGGCATAGGCTATGCGTGGAAAATTATGGATAATAGGTGTGAACAGGATTATGGAACAGAACACGCAGAGTGCAAATATGACAATTGTATGGCCAGTGCAAGGCAAGTTGCACAGCTATATACATAGTGTAGGATACGACGCAAATGTATCTACAGGTCAGAAGGACACATGGTTATACTTGTGATCATTGGAATCCTGCAATCGGATTTGGATAAACTTACACTTGGATTGCACACAGGACGATATATTGGTGCAAACAATTCTATATACATAGTGTTCATATATAAGCATTCATGGCCCAGCATGAATTAAGAGTTATGACTTTGACGACATATTACAATCCCATTCCCGTTATCAACTCTAATTGTTTCGAGATATCGCTTTCGACGATTTTGTTACGGGCCTTAAGCTCCTCATCCTTTTTCAAATCTTCTTGGAGATCCTTTGCATCTAACACATTTTTTGGTGGCGTGGGCTTCTGTATATTCATCAACGAGTTCTTAACTTCGTTGTATTCGGCCATATTGGCATTCAACCGGTTGATTTTTTCTTTGGTAGATTTTGACTGGTGCTTTAATTTGCTCTTAGACACTGGCTTCTGTACAGATTTGGTTTTCTTGGTAGCAATCCCGTTTTTCCTGCTGGCCACACTCTTCTTGTTATCCTTAGTTTGCTTGGCCATCGTATATTGTATGAACTACCTGCTCTGATGTCTATCTTTTGGTACTAACTTGGTTTTTGACCTCATCTCAAAAGTGCCAAAACTCACGTGATATTTCCATCCTCTTAAAAAAAAATTCTCTACTAAAAATTATCAGCTACCCTTTGCTACAATAATAAAGCTAATTAAAGAAGGAAGATGGTGTCAACTCATAATCGTGATAAGCCATGGGATACCGAAGACATAGACAAATGGGCTATTGAGGAATTCAAGCCGGAAGATAATGCATCTGGGCTACACTTCACAGAAGAGTCATCTTTTATGACCTTATTCCCAAAATACAGAGAACAGTACTTACGAACAATCTGGAGCGATGTTACGCGGACTTTGGACAAATACTTCATTGACTGTCAATTAGATTTGGTCGAAGGGTCAATGACGGTCAAAACCACCAGAAAAACATTCGATCCGGCTATTATTTTGAAAGCAAGAGACTTAATCAAGTTGTTAGCTAGATCGGTTCCTTTCCCACAAGCCGTGAAAATTTTGCAAGACGATATTGCTTGTGATGTTATCAAGATTGGTAACTTTGTTACCAACAAAGACAGATTTGTCAAGAGAAGACAAAGATTGGTCGGGCCAAATGGGAATACATTAAAAGCATTGGAATTATTAACCAAGTGTTACATCTTAGTTCAAGGTAACACCGTGAGTGCCATGGGTCCTTTCAAGGGGTTAAAGGAAGTAAGAAGAGTCGTTGAAGACTGCATGAATAATGTTCATCCTATTTACTACATCAAAGAGTTGATGATCAAGCAAGAATTGGCCAAGAATCCAGAATTGGCCCACGAAGACTGGTCCAGATTTTTGCCAATGTTCAGAAAGAGAAACGTCGCCCGTAAGAAGTCCAAGAAGGTCGGTGAAAAGAAGGAGAAGAAGGTTTACACTCCATTCCCACCAGCTCAATTACCTAGAAAGGTTGATTTACAGATTGAAAGTGGTGAGTACTTCTTGGGCAAGAAGGAAAAGGAAAGAAAGAAATTACAGGAGAAGCGTGATAAGCAAGAGGAAGCTAGCGAGGTTAAGAAACAAGAAAGATTGAAAGACTTCGAAGCCCCAGAAGAAGATTCGTACGAAAACAAGTTAGTCACCAAAGAGAAGTCCCATAAAAAGGATAAAAAGGACAAAAAAGAGAAGAAAGATAAGAAGGAAAAGAAAGACAAGAAGAGATCAAAGCATAATGATGACGATGAAGAAGGTTCTAGTTCAAAAAAATCTAGACACGACTGAATATTTGTATAGTAACAATATAGTAATAGTATAGTAATAGTATATCTAGCATATCAAGCGTATAAAATATTATCCCTAAGATCGTACCATACATTGCCTCGAATTGACATATTGGATCAAATTGGAACAACGATTCCCTTTTTAGTCGCGTAAAAATTTGTTTATGTTTCGCTTACGAACCTAAACATTGAGCCTCACAAAAGTTTTTTTTACTATGCCAATAGTAAAGCACAAGGGAGTTACAATAAGTCAAAGAAGGGACAATTTAGAGAACCAAGACATAGAATATTAGCCATAGATACCACAATGTCGACCAAATTAGATCTGTTGATCACTTTGGTAGATAATTTGGATACAAGATCGACTCAGTTATTGAATTCGATTCAAGAGACTAACTATTTGGTTACCGATATTATGAGTTTGAATAATGATATTTCTACAGCAGATAAAACCATAGATTTTATGGATGATTTGGTTTCAAGTAATCACACCCACTTGAATGAGTTTGAAAGTTTGTATGAAAGGTCGTTTTTGTTGGAATCCAATATGCATTTGAACGATGTTGTGACTAGCGAAACGACGTTAGACAACCTACGCCAAGAATATCGATTTCTCATGAACAGGTTCACAAGAAACGATGGCTACAACTCTGTCAATGAAAGTTCGGCGCAGGTGTCCGAAGAAGAAACTACATTATCGACGCATTTCCAGACTCCTCCAAGACTCCACAACTCGATTTCGGTATCGAACTTGAAATTAAAACCTATACGGTGTAGGTCTAAGAAAATACCTAGAAAGAAGGCAAGCATGCGAATTATGAGTACTTCAACGGCTAAACCGGTAGAAAATAGCGATATGTTGCCGCTCATACCGGACGAAGATGAAATAACTACGCCAGTTTCCAACATGGGAAAGAGACTGTCTAACCGTGATTTGTTCAATGCCCCGTTCCCTAAAAAAATTGCATTATCGAATAACGAAGCCACCACCGCTGACACAACCCAATCGCCGCCTAGCAAAATCATGGACACTTTTAAAGATTACGGTAATGATGATTCAAACACAATATCTACATCTCCAGAAATATTTGGTGAATTGCATTCGAGAATAAAGATACGATCCAATTCATTACCTGAAACTCCTAAAATTGAAAAATTCGAACTAAACAGCTTTAATATCCTTAAATCACATACTTCAAATACCAATTCGTCAAATATATTTCAAACATGTAACGACGATAGTGAACTTTTAAGACTAAATAGGCTAAAACATTTCATATCATCTGGTAATGTTCAACGTCATATACACATGAATGGATGTGATACATCACTCTCGAAGCCATCTCAACATCATAATAACCAATCCATTTTTGATAAAACTCCAACTTTTACCCCTGTTGACATTGAAAATAATAATATCGACAAATTTGATATCGAGAGTATATCTGTATGTTCGGATTTTTCTGACTACTCTCCTGAGGAGCCAACAGAAGAATTGGATAATTTTGAAAGCTTCTTACGAAAGTCAAGGATTGACTTGGCTGAATCATTTCCTAATATAATTACAAAAGCAAAATCTCACGATAGCATTTTCACAAATGAAGAATCAATATCTTTGGCAGCGTCTGCACCAGCGAAGCTGTTCAAGTTTCACAATCCAATAGACAATATGAATTTAAATTCTCTGAAGGTTGCTACTACAACTGTGGAACCAATTTACTATCATGGAAGTGATCAAATATCCCATTCTAGTAAGGATGTAAATAATATTAAAGGAAATACAACTAAATTATTGAATGATGTTATGTCTAAAACTGATCGAAAAGAGACCCCAAGTAATAGAACACCAAATAGAATAAAAAAGTCATTATTTAATTTCAACATTAATTCACCATCTAGATCAATAAAGTCGGAATTGTTACAAGACTCTAATCCCCGTCGTGGCAGTCTTGATTTAATGGGCAAGTCATTAACTGATAGTTTCATGAGCTTAGTTAATACTGGATCACTTGAAAAGCTTAAGAAATACGAACAACCTTCTATTCCAAGCCACTATAAATCGAAACCTATAAATACTATTGAGCAATCCAATAATGCTAAGGAGAGGCCTATAGTCATTAGAAATGATACTCTGATTAAAAGATTACCTCCAAGGAGAAAGGATGGGGCACATTCAAATTTAATTATTGGGCCCAATAAAACTAAGATAGTTAACCACGGCGACCAATCCGTTTTTCGGAAACCTTTGATGACGAAGGTTAGTCGTAACTCGTTAAATGAGGCTTTAAGTCAAAGCATATTATAATTCAAGTCGTATTGCTGATATATATCGGTTAAATTTTACAACTCGAGATATCAACGTTATGGATTAATAATTCTATACTATTTATTATTTATATTTTATATTTAACTTTTTACTAAATAAACTTTGCATATTATTAACTCTCAAAGCCTCCACTATTAAATAATTTTGTATTATTATTCTTTGCATCGTTAAGACTCCTTTCAATTTGTTTTTCTTTCAAACTCTTAATCGGATTTTTCTTATTCTTGGATAAATATGTAATAGATGCTTTGGAACCCGATGCAGTTTTATACTGTTTACTAATAGTGACACCAGAAAATTGTTTGCCATCTTTGACTAGAATGCCCTGTTGGTTACTCGATAATCTAAAAGATTTTATTATTGAAGGTTTCTTAATGTTAGGCATGAATTCCTCATCGACATCTGTATCACTATCTTCATGGGTCCTTTTATTCAGCTGCTCATCTATACCCGTTGGACTTTCAGATCTTTTTCCTGAATGTAAATTACTAAGACTTTTACTTTTCAATGCTTGTAAATCATCAATTTCATCATCAGAAGAATCAAATCCATGCTGTCTATTAGATACTTTTTGTTCATGCTCATAATCATCTTTTCCGCTCTTCATTAAAAATGACAATTGCTTATGTACGAAAGATTCTTCGACTCGAATTGTTTTCTTCTTAGGTTCTTCCTCTATATCATCGTCCTCTGATTCTTTGTCACTCTTGTTTTCCTTGTCTGAGCTTCTGAATGGATTCTTTGCATTTGCTTGAGACTGTGATTTTTCTACCAATTCATCATCATCATCATCATCATCAAGGTTAACGATCATAGTAGAATCCTGAATAGAGTCAAAAAATGCCTTTGATTTTTCATTTTTAGCAAGAGCATTTAACTTTTTATTTTCCATTAATCTTGCTCTTTGTTCCTTTAATTTTTGCTTTCTATAAGCTGTCAAAAGCTCATCTTCTTCGTCACTTAATTCTATGTCAAACCCGTTACCATTTGCTCTTTTGGTTAGTCTGTGGTTCTTGATATCATCTAATAATTTCTCTAATTCTTTTTGATCTTTAATCTGATATTCTTCCATAAACTTTCGCCTGAGGTCGTCATTCTTTAAATCAATATTGAAATCATTGTCAATCATTTTTTCATCCTCTGAATTAGCTTGATCATCAGATAAATCACCATCAACACCACCAAGACCATGCCATTCATCTTCGGATTCTTCAGCTTCACCTTCAACAATGCTCTTCATACCCATTCTTTCTAATTCTTTTTGTTTCTTCCGAGACATCAATTCCTTTCTCCTGATCTTTTCTTCATACAACTTAATTTGTTGCTGAATATATTCCGGAGATTTCTCATCCTCAGACAGTTCATCATCTTCCATGATATTATTTAAGGTTGCATTCTTACGAATCAATTTACGACCTGTTCTTAAAGCTGATGGACTTATGTCTTCATCGTCATCTTCTTTATCGGCTGATGCTTCTATATGTAATTTATTGGCAGGCTCAATATTTCCATGGATAACCTGAGTAGCATTATCAATTTGGGTAGATGCATCAAATTGGCTGGGATTATCAACTTGTGTTGAAATTGAATCAGGTTGCGTATTTTGTATGTCTGATTCGATGATATCCTGAAAGGATGGCAATTCAGTATGGAGTATACTCGATTTATTGATATCTTCAGATATTTGTGATTCAGTATTTGTAATTGCTTCCCTTGGTTTCAAGTTCTTGAAAAGTTCATAATTTTCATTGATGTCTTCTATTCCATGCTCGTGCATGTTTTGCTGTTCCACCCCGGATTCATCTTTTCTTAAATTGTCAAATATATTGTCGGTATTGCTTTTCTTGCTCAAGACCTGTGTGCCATTTTCAAATGCTTGTGTTAAAGAAGCCCCACTTCCAAATACAGCCCTCAATTTTTGAGTATTAACGGTGGTAATGAAATCCTCATTTTCTACTCCTAAGCTATCTTCATTATCTCTTTGATCTACAACCCCGAACATATAACTATCATCATTTCTCTTCCTTTGAGATGCTTCATCGATATTTTTGGCTCCGTCATCTTCGTCGTCTGATACCACCGTTCTCCTTGCTTTTCTTTTAGCCTTAGATAGATTATTATCCGAATTTATTTGGCTATATTTTTCGTTGTCTTCTTCTTCTTCTTCTTCTTCTTCTTCTTGTTCTTGTTCTTCCTCTTCTTTATTGTTTTCATCTACTGAATCATAGTTCGAAGAATGATCTGAATCCATATCACTGTCAGGAACTTCGTCGTCGGTATTATTTTCCTGATCATAGTTTTCAGTGTCAGCTGTGCCTTCAGTATTGCCTTTACCAGCAAGAGCTAACACTGCTCTTTCTCTTAACTTTTCCTTTCTTCTGATGTTTCTGACTTTTTCCATTTCTCTTTCTAGTAAAGTCCCCATAAGTTCTTCGTCTTTTTCTAATTCTTCTAATATTTCATGATCAGGGTCCATATGTTTATTAGAGACCAATTGATTAATATTAGCTTTTCGTAAATGACCAAGGAATGAAGTAGAATTTGGATTCTTTTCTAATGACATTATCTTCCTTAACAGCCTAGGTAAACTTGCAAATACCGGAGTTTGCACTGACATTTTCTTCTTAGAAAACCTTTGTTTAATGGACAATTTGTCCTCTTTAGACAACTGGGGGATCTTCTTAAGCTCGTCTTGAATTTCCATACGTTGAGTTTCATTTTCGGATTCAGAATTACTACCAGATTCAAAATCGCTATCCAAATTAATAATTTTATTATTGGTGCTTTTCGTTGGGGATGATAACAATTGCTGCTTTAAATTTTCAGCGTATATCTCAATTGGGTTCTTTTGGGGTTGTTTAGCTTTTAGTTTTGGAGAGTGTATAGCGTCCAGAAAACTTAGTATGTTTTCATCTTCCTCGTCTTTATTGCTAGCTAAAGGATCAGCTTTGTGGATGACTTTTAAGGGTGAAGTGACAGGACTGGATTTGATCACCGTGTCCTGGGAATTGTTATCGATATCAGATTGTTCTGAGCCTTCTTCATCGAACGCCGATAATAGTCTATCCTTCGAAAAAACCACCTTCCGCTTGAACTCGGGTTGAATGATTTTCTCTCGCTTCTTTATGTTTAAAAATTCATCGGTCTCCTTCATTTGCTTATCAGTGGCATGAGACATGACAACCGTGTCATTGTGATCATTTAAATCATTCTCCTCATCTGTGAGAGTAGTGTGTGTTATATCGACCTCCAATTCTTCCTGATGTTTTTCTTTAGCCAACCTCTCTTGCCTCTTTCTTTCAGCAAGTTGCGCAATCTTCAACTGACGTTCTTCCTTTGACATGGCTTGTGGACGTATTGGTTCTTCGATTTCCGATACAAATAACCCTACTGTACTTGCCAGTTCAGCCACCTGTATTGGCTGAGTAGCAATTTCTGCATCGTCGACCGAGAGCTGGGGTAATATATGTACTTTTTGCGTTGAGGTTGGCCCAGAAGATCCAGAATCTGTTCCAGTAACAATCTGCGTCAGATCTTCTCTAATTTCCGCCTCGTCTCTTACAATACTCTCCATTTCTTCATCAGGGTTCGTCATATCGTCACCTTCCATACGCTGAGTCTCCAGACTCTCTACCGGGCCTCCATACAACCGTTGTCTTACTTTATCGAGAATACTCATGTCTGGCATACCTGGATTCCCCTGATCACCTAAAGACTTCGAAATCCCTCCAATATTGAAGTTCATTCCTAACATCGATCCCTGTGTCTCGTTATCTGGCGCTTCCGCCGTTTCTTCGTCATTGAAATCATCTTGGTTGCTTATCACCTGTGTGTCGAGGTATGTCTGGTGGTGGCCTCCGTGGTCCTCCAATTCGTCTAAGAGATCCATATTTCCACTAATCAGCAATACCAACTCTACTGTAACCTTTTCTAGTCCTTTTCTTCGTTATTTGACCTAGCCGCCCATCTCCTACTATTTTGGCGTTTTAACGTGTAGTAACTTCTTATGTTTACTAGTTGTGGAAAACGCGTATTTGGCGATTTTGTGTAATATACTGCACAATTGCCTGACATCGTATACTATGTCGTATAACATGTCGTATCTTTCCTCTAAACGAGAGATATGACCGACATTTTGTCTCGAGTTCTCGGATTATGTAATAATATGTCATAATTTCGTCAATCGAGTCGTATTTAACAATAGATAGTGTCTAATCGGGTGCGAATCGACATTGGCCATCTGGTCCAATTGCATGTGATTCGTTCTGTCCCATAAAAAAAATTTCCGAGTTAAAAATTTCTATTTGTTGTGGCTCCGATGGTATCTTATGCCAACGTTTCTCTCATAATATAAATAGTTTGGAAATTTTGGACAAAAATTTTCTTTTTATACTTTATTTGGAAAATACATTCTTATTGAGTTTTTCAAAAATTAACATTAAGGGTACTAGTAGGTCAATTGTTTAGTAATCCTAATCGAAAATAAATCAAGAAATATGGCTGGTGAAAAATTTTTATTTACTTCTGAATCTGTCGGTGAAGGTCACCCAGATAAGATCTGTGATCAAGTGTCGGATGCTATCTTAGATGCTTGTTTAGCACAAGATCCATTATCCAAGGTTGCCTGTGAAACTGCTGCAAAGACCGGTATGATTATGGTTTTCGGTGAAATCACTACCAAGGCCCAATTGGACTTCCAAAAGATTGTTAGAGAAACCATTAAGCACATTGGTTACGACAGCAGTGAAAAGGGTTTCGACCACAAGACATGTAACGTCTTGGTTGCCATTGAACAACAATCGCAAGATATTGCTCAAGGTTTGCACTACGAAAAGGCCTTGGAAGAATTAGGTGCTGGTGATCAAGGTATTATGTTTGGTTACGCTACCGACGAGACCGACGAAAAGTTACCATTGACCTTGTTATTAGCCCACAAGTTGAACGCTGAATTGGCTTCTGCCAGAAGATCTGGTGCTTTAGCTTGGTTGAGACCTGACACCAAGACCCAAGTCACCATCGAATATGAAAAGGACGGTGGTGCTGTTATTCCACGTAGGGTCGATACCGTTGTTATCTCTACTCAACATGCTGATGAAATCTCCACTGAAGACTTAAGAACTCAAATCTTAGAACACATCATTAAGAAGGTCATTCCAGAACACTTATTGGATGACAAGACCACTTACCACATTCAACCATCTGGAAGATTCGTCATTGGTGGTCCTCAAGGTGATGCCGGTTTAACTGGTAGAAAGATTATTGTTGATACCTACGGTGGTTGGGGTGCTCACGGTGGTGGTGCTTTCTCCGGTAAGGATTTCTCCAAGGTCGACAGATCTGCTGCTTACGCTGCCAGATGGGTTGCCAAGTCTTTAGTCAACGCTGGTTTAGCTAGAAGAGCTTTAGTTCAATTCTCTTACGCTATCGGTGTTGCTGATCCATTATCTATCCACATTGATACTTACGGTACCTCTAAGCACTCTTCTGAAGAATTAGTCGCTATCGTCAGAAAGAACTTCGATTTAAGACCAGGTGTTATTGTCAAGGAATTGGATTTAGCCAGACCAATCTACTTCAAGACCGCTTCTTACGGTCACTTCACCAACCAAGAAAACTCTTGGGAACAACCAAAGAAATTAAAGTATTAGGTTATCTACCATCCAGATTTAATTGTATGGAATACTTAATGATTAATGTAATGACTCCATTGAATTTATTTTAAGTCAACGCTCAACTCGTTGATTTTGTGTTAATAGTTACTATTGATTTTTTTTTTATGATTACATTTTTGTTGCAACATTTTTTTCACCATGTTAAAAGTTATAAGGCGGGTTTTACTTCCAAGTTTTAATTTTGATTTTTATTATATTTATTATTTGATATAAGGATAGAGTTTTTTATTACATTAATAAGGGGTCCTCAACGGACAATTAAGTTAAATAAACGGCTGTTTTATTTCATAATTGTAGACAACCAAATTCGTAATCAATAACTCATGATAAGTTTGTTGAAGACATTATCGCTTCGTTGCATTAATCTAATATGGATATTCTCTATAGTGTTTTGCTGTAAGTACATCATGTAACTTGTCGAGGAAGAATATGTTATCGTAAAACTTCAAGTGGGTAAAATATCATCGTCAACTGTTATTGGAACATTACTGTTTTCCAGATTCAAATATGGGAAATATCTGAAGTAGACTACAAAAGCTACTGAAACACCAATTCCGCTTCCCAATATAATATCTAAAAAGTGATGTCTGTAGTCTTGGGTTCTACTCAACCCAACGTAGCTTGCAAGTATAATTGGAATAAATGCAACAAGATGTTGCCACAAGTAAGATTCCCTTCTCAATTTGAACTGACCTATGATCCACAAGTATAAGTAGAATAAGCCTGCAAATGAAAGTGAGGCATGTCCTGAAGGGGTAGATTTCCCACCATCTAAGAGATACATCTGACCTAAGGGTGCAGTACAAACTTCAATTCCAACATATGTGTTCGATGGAGTGGCTGGCGTAGGCCCACATCTAGCCAAAAAATCAGGCCTAGGTCTACCGATCCAGTTTTTTAATATATCTGTAATGACTCCATTCACACTCAATGAAACAAATAACCCCAATAACGATATTTGCAAAACATGAAAATTATTCAAATTCACATTATTTGATCTGCGGAAATTAGTTATAAGGAGAATAATGGTCAATGGCAATATACATGATAACATATATAACTGGTTATCGCTAACCCGTTCAGTAATCGCAAATGGATGTTGAAGGGTATGGTCAGATAACTTGAATTGTCTTTGGAATGGTCTTGCTGGTTCAACAACATAGAAAAATATCAATAAAAGAGCTAGCACAGCTATCCATTCTGGAATATTCTTCTTGAATTTGCTAGATTTTAGATACTTGATAAGCATTGTACGCGTATCAAATGTAGTAGCTTATAGTGATCTGGAGTTAATGAGAAATAAAAATATAAAATACTCAATTCTACATTATAGTACAAAACACAATTATGAAAATTAAAAAGTACGAATTAAAATAAATATCTATAGGATTAATGACGGGAAAATAAATTTGAGGAGTTAAATAACCTATTGCTTAGCATCGGAGCTGAAAGAATCATCTTGGCCGCGAGGGGCATCGGTCATTCTGTCTTGAACTAACTTAGTGGTATCAATTTCACCATGATATCTTTCAGAGATCTCTTCCAAGGTCTTTCTCTTGGTTTCTGGGATTAATAATGAGGTAAAGATACCAATCAACATGAATAATGCAAAGATTTCCATAACATGAGGTAAGAAACAGTTCTTCTCATCGGCGGCACAACCGTGGTTAATTAAAGTACCAATACAGGTTTGCGCAATGATAGCACCGACTTTACCAGAAGCGGCTGAAATACCATGGGCAGAAGATCTGTATCTGGTTGGGAAAACTTCACCAGGGACGATGAAGGTGGTAGTATTTGGACCGAAATTTTGGAAGAATTGACATAAGACATATAAGGCTAATAAACCATTATTCGTTTCGTTCTTCAATTTATCATAACCAAACCCGATAGCACATAATAAAATTGTCAAGATAATGAAACCACCGATTTGAATTGGTTTACGACCAATGATATCAACAGTGGCAACAGTAGCCCAGTAACCTGGCAAGGAACCAGCACAAACTAAAATTAAGTTACCGGCAGCAGAGTTGTATAAAACATCATAAACATTGTCACCGCCGGCATAACCAATAGTTTGTAAAATGGTAGCGGTGTTTAAACCTAAACCATAGTAAGCAACATCCAACATAAACCAAGAACCAGCAGTACCGATTAAAATCTTACCGTATCTCCATTGACCGAAATGCTTGCAGAATTCAACGAAAGAAGCTTTTGGTGGAGCAATGTCAGCGGCAGCCTTATCAAGAACAACTTCAGCTTCAACAACTTTTTCAAGGTCATCATGTTCATCAATATCTAAGTGGTATCTTGGGGATTCGGCAATGGTCAATCTGTAGTATAAGGCAATAACACCTGGAACACAACCAAAACCAATGACAATTCTCCACATTTGATCACAAGCCTTTTGACAAGTAGCATCACAGTCGGCGATTTTAGTGGCAGAGTCAATACTGGCACCAATCAATTGATCTTTGTAACCGGCAACACAGATAATAGTAACAATACCAGCCAAAATTTGACCAAGACCTTGGTTAGAGAAAACAGCGCCCATAATGGCACCTCTCCATTTGGTGGTAGCGAACTCTGAAGAAATAATGGACGATAATGGATAATCACCACCAATACCGATACCCATAATGATTCTCAATACGGAGAAAATTGCAACAAAGTTCACACCAGGCGCTTCACCAAGACAACATTGGAAAATGGTGGCTGCAATCATCACAATCAATTCCAAACCATAAATCTTCTTACGACCAACAACATCAGCCATAATACCAAACCCTAATTGACCGATAACGGTACCCACAGAGGTAGAAACCTTAAGCAAGGTAGTGGTGGAATCTGGCATAGCACCAGACCAGTACACATAAGATAATATAGTAACAGACAAGTTAATCGCGAAAATATCGTAAGAATCAGTCATGAAACCAACACCGGCAATCATGATCATCTTGATTTGGGTCCATCCAAATCCAGCATTATCAATATCTTCCAATGCCAATCTTCTTCTTTCCAATGGGTCCTCAATGTGGGCGTACTTTCCAATGTAATCTTTAAAAGCGGTCTTACCCCCCGAGTTAGACACTTCGTGAGCGTGAATTTCTTCAGTAATACTGCTCATCCTTTTTCTTATAGTATGATTGTCTTACACTGAAAAATTATTGTTGCAATAAGGACATTTTGCTTCATTTAAATATTTTTCTTGTCAATAAAAGAAATGCCTAAAATTCTATTGCATCTCGTGGGCCATATACAGAATTGGGATATTAATTAATGGTTTTATTAGCCCGATAGCGCCGTTATGATATTACGAAACTGCTGCGCGGAATTACAAAGGCCCCCAATACTCATCCATTTACCTGGCTTAAAACTACTATTAATGGCTCTACTACATCCTCTGACACAATTAATCTTTACACTGTCATATAAGCTGCGACAGGTTAACCTTTGTCCTGGGATGTCAAAAACTATAATACCTTGGCCTTGATCGTTTTCTTGGATTTTGAAGTCAAATCCATCTATTTTCCGCCACGTGGAGTCCCCATATAGCTTTTGGTCGTACGAGCTTTAGTTGCAGCTAAAATTACCAGCCAAATTAGCACACGTTTAGCGGTACCCGCACGATAATTAAAGATTTCTTGATAAACGTGGTGATAATAGCCACTTTCTTAGGACGCAGGACATTCACGCTCCTTATAATAGTCACACGATCGAATATTTCATCGTCGCCAAGCAACCGAAGTATGCAGGTTGCCAAGATTGGGATGAGATGCTGAGAATTTCGCAGCTCGATTACTTCGTTGAGCAGGACACCACAAGAGCAGTATCTGTGTTAGTCGAGGTGGTAATTGTCGCGTGATCTGTCACATGGATTTGAAAGAAAAAGAATTGAGTGTGCTGGTGGTCAAAAATAGGCTGTTTATTAAGATATGTCTATACCACGTGATTTTTATTAGTTCGAGGTCGTCTATGGGGTTCGAAAGGGTGTCGCAAAGAAGACGCACGACGTACTGGTTGATAGGCCCAGGAACATGCCCACAAAGCCACGGTGTACTGGCGATTGGGCAACGTATTGTTAGGAGCTCGTAGGCACTCGTATCGAATGGAAAAATTAGATGGTACAAAGTATGAATGATACTTCTTTCGTTGCAAGTGAAAATTTTGACAGAATTTGACATGTGGGCATACTCAATTAAGCTGAATATTTGAGGGGCGCCGTGTCTGATTGATAGTAGTAATATATACTTGTAGCGTGTCTTTCGTGAGCCCGTGGGTCATTAGTCCTGTCAATGTATATGCCTGGGAGTGATAGATTACGAGGATCGCGTGGGCAAGGCATCAAAAAAGGACTGATGTCGGTTAGGATAGACGAGGAGTATAAGATTGTCCAGTACAGTGTATTGGTCAGATAAGGAATGATCTCGTGGGCCTCCAGACGTGCATAAGGCGCTGTTATACGAGGATGCATGAATTAGTAGCTTGAGGTGCTCGTCTTATTTTGCGAATGAAGTAATTTTTGTGGATGGTGACACATGTTATCCCAGGCTTCGATTAAGCCGCACAGCGAGACGCTCAATGTCGTGTAGATGTCGCGGTAATGTCTTATATACGATATCACCCCGTGATATATCGCGTGATATATAAATGTCGTGTGCGATGGTTTCTATATCGCACAATGTCTTTTCTCTAGGATATTTCTTTTATATCACCTGATCATCGAAATTGTTCCCTTCCTTTCGGGCGAGTGGACTTCAGAAGGCTGAACGGATAAATGTCTCGATGAAGGGAGATTGCGACAATTATGTCGGTTGACCCAAAACGGTCGAAAAGCGCTTGCGGAGTTTCTCCTCCCAGTTCTTTTGGCACATTGTGCCTCACACAAAAAGTTTTTCGATCGGTGCTTAAATCCTAGAACCTGACTTGTTTATCTTTGAGTCTTCCATACTAAACACCGTGTTGCTTAGTCTCCTCATCAGGCTCAGTGAAGTGTCTAGAGGGAGATTAGGGCCCTCAAACGCCAGCAATGGATTATTACGGTGCCATGTTCGGTTAGATGGAACCCGCCTTTCGGAAAATTTGCGGTGCACGTATGTCCGGATTATTCCCTCAGTCCGTTTGGCCGCGCCTTTAAGATGAGTAACACTTCTATATAAATATGGAACCCTTTTCACCATTTTTACCATCGTTGTATTCTCTATTATACTAAACTGATAAATATTACAATAATCACAATGATTTCTAACCCAACTGCTCCTGTTGCTAAATTAACCGCTCCAGAAAAGGAAGCTATGATCATGAAAGAAATTAGATCCAACTCAGTCAAGTACGACTCCAAATTCGAAGGTTCTTTCTTCGGTAACATCTTTGGTTTCTCCATCAGAAGCTCTAACTAATTACGCTGTTTGCTGCTTTCACAATTACATGGGTCACATACTATCATTGGTTTTCGGTTCGCATAGGCCAATGCAGGTATTTTAATTTTAATGTTAATACGAATTTTTTATATAACGTGCTTCTCCACGAGGTTACTACTAATTTTAATGATATATTATAGATTGCTTTACAACATACTTTTGTAAGTTACTTCTATGACTTCTTTTAATGATGTCTCTGAATCAACCGATTCGGCGACAGAAATTTTGCATCTCGGAAAACTTTTTTTCTCCTTTTGCGCCCCTCTTTAAGATTACTGCGGGTGTTCATACACAACTTCATTTGCAGCCACATCTTACCGCACATTCGTCCGAAATTATATCCTATAGAACATATCTACCCATCAATATTGAACCCCACCCTCACACGCTCATTAAACCATCTATCGATACCATCGCGAGGGGTAACCTGGAGCAGTTCACCTTGGCACTCAAACACACATTTGTTTATTCTAATGTACTTCAAGTGTTTATTATACTCTAAGTATAATAAGGCTGCATGCTGAACCCTAAACCATTCATCGTATACTGTTGGGTGAACCATTTCTAGACCAAGGTGTGGAGCCCCACCTGCATGCGAACCAAATACATCAAGCTTGGTTAGCTTGGGCAAACAGCTAATCAACTTAATTACCTTCTCAGAACTATTTGTATCACTAGGATTGATTCTAAGACTTCTTAAGTTGAGACAATTGCTTAACTCTTCATAGAAAAAATTTGAAGGAATTGGAATGCTTAGGTCGCAAAATGCGTTTTCTTCTTTTGTTTCAATGGAAAGTTTTATCAAGGTTTCGCATTTATTCTTCGAAAT